CTGATGCATTCTGGAGACTCTCTGCCTGTCCTGAAGGGCTCTGAAACTAGGAGATGCCAGACAAACGACGTATTTCGCCAACAAGCTCTTCACTGTAATTCATTCTTTTCAGGCCTCTGCTTCAGACACAAGCCTGCCAGGTTGCCATGATACAAGGGATGCATTTTAATTAAACTGTCTTCTATTTTAGCTTAATTGTTGGGTGATTTGCATACCCCCCTCCCGTTCGGCCCAGGGTCTTTCCATTCCGACGGGCACACGCCGACCACCCCGATCTCCTGCCCCTGCCTCTGGGCAGGGGCAGGGGCAGTGGCAGGGGCAGGGGCAGTGAGCCCGGTAGACAAAGCAACAAAATAAGCTCTTTGCAATCAAGCCCCCTCAGGGCCTCTTGTCATTTGAGTTTTCGACTACTATCACTGCTATGCATCCCCATGCCACATCCTTTGCAGCATTAACAGGGTTTTTAAAACATTGAAAGATGTGCTCAGCAGCAGCCTGGCCAGAGCAAGCGGAATATGGCGCGTCAATGGGCAGCCGCACTGTGGGAGCTGTTGGCTGTGATTCTGCCGGTCTGCATGGTCTGCTCTCCCGTTTTGCAGAGCAAATGTTGGTTCTGATCGAACTTTCCCAATCAGAATGCAGCATGAATTCAATTTCAGTGCTTCTGTGTATAATGGAGCATGGTGGTTAGCGTTGCAGCCTCGCAGCGCTGGGGCCTGGATCCAGTTCCAAACCTGGGGTGCCATCTGCATGGAGTTTATGTGTTCTTCCTGTGTTCCTGTGGGTTTCCTCCCACAGCCCGAAGACATACTGGTAGCTTAATGAGTTTCTGGGAAAACTGGCCCTGGTGTGAGTGTGTGCGTTTCTGTGTCTGTGTGTGCCCTGCGATGGACTGGTGTCCTGTCCAGGTTGTACCCTGCCTTGTGCCCGTTGTTTGCCAAGTAAGACTCCAGCTCCCCCAGTGACCCTCTACTGGATAAAGAGGTTAGAAAATGAAGAGGTGAATAGATGGTTCAGGGCATGCAATTTAGCACAGGCGTTTGACATAAATTGGCTGGAGTGGAAGAAAATGGGTGGATGGACAGACATGTCTATAATGTCCAGAAATCCTGATTCTTCATGCACGTGACAATGGCCTTGTGACTGAACGTAAATTTTTAGTCCTTATGGTTTAATCCAACGGAACAAACTTGCGTCTCTCGAGTCGAGAGTGAAAAAAATGTTCTATTTTTTAAAAACATAGGTAATGATGTGAAGGAAAAGCCTTCCGCAGATTGCTAGGGCAGCATTATTAGCATTGTGTTGGGAAGACCTCAGTCATTGATGGGTGCGTCCTGAAAGACCAGCTGAAAGTCAGCCACTGGCTAGATAGCAGGGCCATTCTTCAGTGGTGAACAACTCCAGACATCAAAGACAATTTTTACATTATCTGCTGTTTCTTAGTAACAGTTCCTGTGCAGGAGTGTTGCTCACAATTCCAGCAGGAGCTGCAAATGCTTCTCAAAGATCAGATGGAAGAGGTTAGTCTGTCCTACAAAATATTGGCCACTAAAAATGACAAAATAATTTAGAACTTTTTTCTCTTTAGATCTCCCTGGCAAAAAAAAATATGTTTGAGTACTTACTGAGCTTCCAGTAAACTGACAGAAGCAAATTTTTAATTGCATAAGAAAATTGAGGTTATGTAAATTGCTCATCAAAAGTAATAAAACGAGGCTTTAAAGATTCCCTCTATAATCCATTAAATGTAATACATGGAGCTCCGTATCTATGCTTGTTTGCATATCAATCTGGAGAAGAATTGGATGAAATGTCTTCAAATATGGCATTATGGTGGCACAGTGCCTCCCAGCACTGGGGTCAGGAGTTCCATTCTGGACCTGGGGTGCTATTTATGTGGAGGTTGCATGTTCTCCTTGTTCTCATGGGTTTCCTCTGGGTGCTCCAGTTCCTCCCACAGTCCAAACACATGTTGGTAGGTTAGGTAGCTTTTGTGAAGCTGGCCCTTTGTGTGTGTGTGTGTGTGTGTGTGTGTGTGTGTGTGTGTGTGTGTGTGTGTGTGTGTGTGTGTGTGTGTGTCTGTTTGGCATCCAAACCAGGCTCCAGGATGCTGTAACCCTGAATTGGATAAGCGGTTAGAAAATGAATGGATGGCTCAGGTATGATGTGATTATAATGTCTTCAGAACAGAGAACTGAACCAGGGGGCTTTTAATATTAACTATAAGACAGCAAATTGTGACAAACAGGGAGCCATCTAAAACCTGTTTGGGGTCTGTTTTCACCCCATGTGCACTTTCATTTGAGATGAACCGTGGAATAGTAAAAAAAACCTGAATGCATATAAATGTGTGTTTGTGCTGTTTGCTCTAAGCCCAGGATGTCTAATGTGAGGTCTCTCATCTCTGGAAAAAGTTAGTACCCAGAAGCAGAGGCTGTTTCTTATTTGAACAAAGCCTTTTTGTTTGTGTGAAAGTGCAGTAGTAGTTTGTTTCCAGGGGTGATGTTCAGTGAAGTGGAAGAGAATGTCTTGGATCTCATTATTACAGATGTGTAAAGGTAGCAGGAAAAGTGTTCTGCAGTAGGGATATGAGCTGCCTCTAAACTAAGCCATTAATGCCATACAGGGTATGCAATAAAGTTATTTTACTGTACTTCTTTTTATGTGTGCTAATGATGTTACTTAAGTTCACATACTGTATGTATTTTAATATCCTGCTGTTCCTTGCATTTGGGGGGAAAACAAACTGCCACAGACATTCACATTAAGATGATCGGAGGTGTTCAGCTTTTAACGGGAGCCTAGAAAACAAGGGACTGAGATTTAAAGTTACAGACTTTGGTTCTCCTTTAAAATGATATATTTGTAATTTGAATTTTAGCCATCAGTGCTACAGTAGTTGAAACTGAAGCAGTCAGTAACCACAGAGAAACACCTCTAGTGTAGTAAAGGGGTCAGCAGCCTTTAAGAATCTTATGGAACTCCCTTGGGCTTAGTTATTCAAGGACAATGACATGTCGGTTTTCAAGCTAAATGGAAATTAGGCATGTTTGTAATGTATTCTTCAGGTTTTAAAGTTTTGGAACCTCATTTTGGAACCTTAGTGAGATTGTTTGTCTTGCGTGGCAACATAGCAACAGAAAACAAACACCTTAAAACAGCTGGAAAAGATTTGCTCCGACTCGTGTTCCAGAACTCCAGCTGTCCTTGTACCTTACCGCTGGTTTTCTCATTCCGTCTGAAATGAAATTACAAGGTTGTACAGGTTTAAGCAATGGTTTATCTCCTTGGGGGATTCACTCATTTAAAATGAGACAAGAGATCACGAATTAGGCAGCACTCAAGTCCTCTGAGTTACAGAGACTCTCTCACTTCAAAGGGCGACATCGGTCTGTCGAATTAATTAATCGAGCAGTCAATTAATTAACATTATTTTGAGCTTTTTGTCCCAAACGATCTTAACGGACTTGACATATAGAGGAAACTCTTTTGTTCCCCTCGTGAAGGGTGATCCACAGCAGCTCTTCGGCTCCAGCAGCACTGCACCACAGTAGATCAGGGGGCGAGAGAAATTCAATTCATTGCCAATCGGATTGACGGGAAACTTTAGGTTGGGCTAATTGTGCAAGCCCAGGGTGGGAACGTTAACACATACTCTTATTCAGGACATGAATACCCAGCTGGAAGACCTGCAGCAGGCAGCTGTGGAGTTCAGCAGAACTTGAGGAGATTATCTGAACGGTGCTCCTCAAGGATCCTTGCAGGGCGGAGATGCAGCTGCTCTTCCTGCTGTGGCGCTTGTCCCTGGTTCCCACAGCTGCGCACTTATCCCGCCTGATCTCCGGATCTCGGCTGTGATGCCAGAGCCATGTGTGAGCGAGGAGTGGCAGTCGGAGTCAGGACTAGTGCTGACCCAGAATGGAATTTCACTCCTCATTTTCACTAGAGCTGACTGTGATTCATAACATGAAATGTCCTGGCTCGAAAAAAGTAGTGTTTGTTTTTTTTTATGGTGGATTTTTCACAACAGTTGCAACCCAGTCTGACCATTAGGGCTTCATGTGTGTGACATGGGTTCTTTTTTTTAACTTTTTATTTAAAGATGAAAGAATGAACAAATACATGTACAATACACAGTCAAATCATTTACAGCTTTCATCTTTCTTTTGACTGTATACATTTTTTATATAATAAACTATCTACATTATGCCAGCATGGATGAGAGGTTAAAACTAGAAATATAGTCAGCAAAAACACAACAAAGAACAAACAATCTAGACAAAACATTGTTTCATCCTCTTTCACAGAACAAAATCAGGTCTCAATGAGGCCACAAATTCAATTCAGGCTTCCCAGTATTTTCTAAACTTTTCTGCTTGTAACCTAAGGGAAAAGGTGATCTTTTCCATTGTCACCTGGGTTCTACAGTCTCCTGCTGTCTTTCTCGGGCACGATCGCTGCGCTGTCATAATCCTGCAGGCAGAGTTTTATGACATTCTGACTCTCTGGAGGAGAGCAGGTTTCCCATCTAATCCTTCACCCCATTCAGCCTTTTCAGGACAGAATAAAAAAATGCAAAGGTGAAAATTGAATTGTAAATGTGGGTAATCCTAGTGTGAAGAGGAGGGGCATGATGGTGCAGTGGGGCTGGATTCTGCCCCTGGAATGTTATCCATGTGGAGTTTGTATGCTCTCCCCGTGTTCAATGGGTTTTTTGCAGGGTGCACTGGTTTCCTCCCGCAGGCCAAAGACATACTGGTAGGTCAGTTGGCTTCTGGGAAAATTGGCCCTAATGTGAGTGTTTGTGTGTTTGTGTTTGTGTCTGCCCTGTGATGGACTGGTGTCCTGTCCAGGGTGTACCTCACCTTGCGTCTTTTGCAAGTTTAAACATTTAGTGAAATGCTCTAAACTATCTTCTGTTTATTGAAGCAGAGGAAGAGGCCAATATACTATTTGTGCTTCAGTAATCCTTAGCATTCTTTCATTCTTTCCTCCCACAGGTGATCATCAACAGCACAATCACCCCAAATATGACCTTCACCAAGACATCGCAGAAGTTCGGCCAGTGGGCGGACAGCAGGGCGAACACGGTCTTCGGTCTTGGCTTTGCCTCAGAGCAGCAGCTAGCCAAGGTATGTGTGTGACAGAGCCCCATGGGCCCATTGAGCCAGAGCTCATCCTGGATTCCATGGCTTTTAGTGGACTACAGAGCACGTGACTCCCTCTTGGAACGAACACCAGTCCATAACTGGGATTACACCTTTGGAATGCTGGTCCCCAGTTATACAGCTGGGTGGACTGGACTGGTGAATTGGGGCACAGCAACTCACTCAAGGTACAACAGCAGTGTCTGCAGCAGGAGCCCATACCCACAACCTGTCTATCATGAGTCCAGAACCTTAATCAACATAACTTGCTGCCCCTCTAAGGCATGTGTATGCTGTATATTAAAATATATATAAAAAGGTTCTGAGATACTCATCAATTTTGCGTAGGGTGGCGTCTAACATGCTGTCAATCAAATGTACATAAGAACTTCATCCATACCATGAAATAATAATACAATGCATTTTCTGAAAAGCATATACAGTACTTCTGAAAAATCTTCCACAGGATAATTGATTTGTTTCATTATTCTACAACAAGAGTATTGAAGAAACACCTTATCAAGCGAATCTTTCTCCTTTCTTAATACAGTTTGCTGAAAAATTCCAGGAAGTCAAAGAAGCAGCAAAACTAGCAAGAGACAAATCTCAAGAAAAAATAGAAACCTCAAGCAATCATTCCCAGGTAATCCCCGCTATTACTGGTCTTTTCCCTTCCATACCTCCAGTTGCCCAGACATGGACATTCTAATCCCGTGGCTGTCGAATCTTCAGCAGAGCTGTATCGTAAGCGAGGTCACCCTGAAATAGATATTGCTCGCAGGCAGTAGTGGACGCCTGGTGATAGGGTAAAGTAGGGTGAAAGGTCATGAGATTGGGTGTCGCTTATCAGGGGCCAGTGTGGAATTCCGCCTCCTGGCAGGAGCCAGAAATAGAATGACGTCAGAGACGCAGAGGTCGAGTTTCCAGAGGGAAGGAGGAAGAGCTTCTGGGAATTAAATTCCTCCATATGGCTCAAACACCAACGGCACAAGGGACAGGGCTCCAGAAAACCGTCTTCGTCATTCTCCATTTGCAGCTTTGTGTTCGTGTGTCAGGCAATTCTACTAATGGGGAAATTAGAGGTTGCTCCGGGACTGACGTAAGGGCCACTCCTGTATGATCCATCATGTCATCAGTATGGTTCATTTGCTTCTCAAGGACACTGACTGCAGGGCTGCAGTTCTATTATAATATGATAATACTGTATGGGCGTTCCAGTGCCCTGAGCTCCGTTCTGGACTTGGGGTGCTATCTGTGTGCGGTTTGTATGACTTGTGTTCATGTGAGTTTCCTCCCACAGTCCAAAGACAGTCTGGTTGGTTAATTGGCTGCTGCTGGGAAAATTGGCCCTGTTGTGAGTGTTTCTGGGGGTACCCTGTGACGAACTTGTGTCCCGTCCAGGGTGTGCCCTGCCTTGCACTCATCCCTTGCTGGAATAGGTTACGGTTCTCTGGCCTGAATCCTGAATTGACAGAAGCAGTCAGAAAATGGATGGATTGATACGGTATAATCTTTCAACATTTTGCCTCTAGTATCCAGAGACAAAAACAATAATGAAATTTAATTTTTAGGCCCTCAATATTCATTTTCTGTTAGTTTCAACAGCTTTAATTTTTTTTTCATTTAATCTGTTCGCAGTACATAAATATGCCATAGGTTTGCTCTCCTCAGCCTGGCAGGTGGAAGGAGATGACAGTAAGACGCTGTCCAGATAAACACCCGCTGCTGCCAAACCTTCTTTAATATGTTAATGTCCTCCGACTGTCACTCATGTGTTCGGTCCCTCAGAGAAAATTTGAGCCCACTTTGCATACATTTTGTCCTGTCACAGGGTAAGATAGCCAGGCCTGATGTCCCCCGAGTGGAGACGAGAAAATATGAGAAAAAGATCATTTTCTTCAGAGCTAGACCTCTGGGGTTTGCTGCCTATTTGTGGTACAGATGAAAGTCATGAGCATGGAGCTCATTAATGTCTCCAAGATGGCTCTGCTTAACAAAGGTGTGTTACAGTGTAACCTCTTTGCCTGCAATGAGATGAATAACTTTTCATTATATTTACCTGTATATGTATATAGCAGATAGGAGAATCATAGGAGTTTTTTAAATGTGAGTGTGACCTTGGGTTTTATAAACTTCATGGATGTCACTGGCCAATAAAAGTACATTTGCATGAAAAACACATTCAATCAAAATTAGCACAGTCCGGTTTTGGATTTCTATAGCCCAAGTAGCTGTTACGTACAGTACATTAACTAGCTTACATAAACTGCACACTTATCCAGGCCATTTTTTCAAGGTTTTCTCAGTAATTACCTTTCAGAATGTTTGAGCATTCGTTTTTCATTTGGAGGCTATGTGTTACAGTGTGTAAACAAAGGTAAAATCAATTAATATTTAATGTGTTTTGATTTCAGGCAACAAAACATGTTACTTATTGAAAGGGTGTTCAGACTTTCCATAGGCGCTGTATAAGAAAAATCGATAAGCTCACTCACGAATTTTGTTGACCTGCAAATGAAGAGGAGGAAGAAAGGCGAAAGCTAGTTAGGTTTGTTTGGCGGGGTTTGAAGTCGCAGAGTGGTGACTCTGTGGCGACAGAGAATCAATGATGTTTGCATTTAAAAATAGAGCCCATTATCTCCGAGTGGGTGCTTGGCATTGTTTCAGCAATGCCTGCGGTCTGATAACCCTGTTGCTTTTCCACGGTCAGGAATCTGGGCGAGAGACCCCCTCCTCCACACAGGCCTCCAGCATTAACGGCACGGACGACGAGAAGATTTCGCACGGCGGGCCCGTGGACACACAGCTGAAGAGCGAGAACGACCGGCTGAAGACGGCGCTGGCGCAGGGGTGAGGCCACAGCGGGCTGTCCGTGCGGCTCAGCTTCGCTCTGCGGTCGGTGGCCTGAAAGACGATCGGTCATTTCTGCGTCCTCACCAGGCCGCGAGGAGCTAGGCGGTGGCCTTCTCCTTTCCTCCAGGGCAGCGCATCTGTGCATCGCATTGCTGTGCAAAAAGTTTATTGTTCCACACTCCCACCACCCTTTGTGTAAAGAAGTACCTCCCGAACTTGGGTTTAAAAGCACTTCCATGTTGTTTCCACTCATGCGCTCTGGTTCATGTTTTGCTTTTTATTTGGAAGATATCCACTTTGTTGAGTTGAAATAGATGCCCTGGTACTCTTCTCTGTTTAAAACTACAAACGTTCAGTTCCAGTTCTTTCATCTTGTCAATATAAGACATTCTTTCAAATCCCACACTGCATCTGGTTGCTCTTCTCTGGACAAATTCCACAGCAGTGGAATCTTTTTTTTGTAAGATGGTGACAAAAATGTGCAGAGTATTGCAAATTCCTAGTGTTTTGTACAAATGAACATAAACCTTGATTTAAATTACACACTTTTAATCACATATCCTAAAAATCTATTGGCCATTTTGTCTGGAAGATCTAAATGACTTGTCAACATTAATACTCAAGTCAGTTTTTGGTATCCACTTCAAGTTTACTGTCTACCCTTTTGCATTTGCTGTATCGTTAGTTTTTGCTATGTTTATGTAGTACTCTGTACTGTTCTACGCTCTTGGGTGGCAGTAAAAATATTTCTGTCCAGAGATCTTGCGATATACAGATCGCATTTATTGCATTCCTTGGTTTCAGAAATATTTTGTATTTTGTGTTTTTTCCATTTACAAGAGAGGTCTTGCTCTTTTATTAAAGTGGACGCAGGCTCACCAGCTTTCTGTATTTTTTGTCACACTTCACTGTAAGGTTCAAAACTCTCCTGTTACACTGATACTTCTTGGTGATTGCTGCAGGGTCTGAAGTGTCAGTTTTTAATGATGCTGTGGTTTCTGAGCCGATGCCCGCTCCTCAGCGCTGGTATCAAGAGTCCTGCCACACTGGGCTGTTTAACTTTGTCATCCTCACGGCTTCTTCCTTCGGGTTTTCCAGCTCTACCAATGCGAAGAAGTGGGAGACGGAGCTGCAGACGCTGAGGGACAGCAATGCCCGGCTGATAGACGCGCTGCAGGAGTCCGCGAGCAACGTGGAGCAGTGGAAGAAGCAGCTGGCGGTGTGCAAAGAGGAGAGCGATCAGCTCAGAAACAAGGTCAGCGCGGGGAAGAAGAGATGTCACAGTACCATGGCACACGATGGTGCGCTTGTGCACACCTGAGTGTGTGTTTCACACTCTCACTCTTCACACTCCCTCGGTGAATCACAGTAGTTCTCCGTTAAGCGTGCTGAAGCTTTTTGCAAGACCAAGGTATCGCAGTGGCAGTGGCTGTTGCATCAGCTGATGCTCATTTTTCCCGGTCTGGAGAGAGAAGTGGGTTTCCTGCCAGCTTTGCTAAGAATAGAGTTTGAGCACCAATAGAAATCAGCTGGTACAGTAAACTGGAAAACAACAACCCAGCCAATAAACCAGTGTATCGTTTCTTCTGCCTACGCTCCTACCACCTTTGTAGTCACTATTTTCTTCCCCTCCCCTGAAGGATCAGGGAAAGACCTTCAAGCTTCAGCTTAATAGGAATTTAATCTTAGCTTAAACGTGAACTGGAGCATGTCATTCTGTATTTAAGTCGTGGTTGTGCTGCACAACATGTCTAAACAGGGGCTCTTAGAGGTGCTGGCCTCCCATCACTTGAATTGCACTTGAATAGAAATGGGGTAGCTGTGATCTCCTGCTGCCTCTGGGCTGTTTTCTCTACGGGGGCAGACACCCCAGCCCTGGCCCGCTGACCCAGCGCTGTCCTCTGCAGATCACGGAGCTGGAGGCCCAGTGCGCCGAGGCGAACCTGGAGAAAGAGCGCAACGTGCAGCTGGGCGTGCGAGTGAGAGAACTGGAGTCGGAGCTCCAGGAGAAGGAGCAGGTAGGAGGAAATCTGGCTGGCGAGCAGGCGCAGCCCACTGACACACACACACACAATAACACACACCGCCTCACGATGCTACTGCTCTCTCCTTCCCTCCTCAGTTCACACAGGCTTCTGGTGGTGCTCCTCTAGATCTTTTTACTCTCCTGGAACGCCAGGACATGCAGTAAATACTGTATGAACTGAAACACCATGTCAACCTTCCCTTTGTTTCCACGGTTATTCTTGAGGATGGTAGCTTTTAAGGCAAGTGCCTTTCCTCCTCTTTCCCGGGAATTGTGTAGTAAGCATTAAAAACACACTGCGGTAATTGGCAGCACATTTTCACAGCTCTCCCAGATGTGCCCTGCCTCTGAAGTCTGGCTCACCGTAATAGGAGTCAATTAGTATCACAATGCTTGTTTGGGTGTCAGTGGCATATTTGCTTAGCAGCCAAACATCAACGCACTGGATGTCTCTATACATGTTGTGCGTCTCTCCTTCTCCCTTGGGAAGTGATTACGTTAGAAATAAGAATGAACAAATATTGATTTGTTTCATCGCCTAGAAACGTGCCATCGTTTCTAGCTTCTGTGCCGATATTCTCACACTCAGCAGATTTGTGGTATGTGTGTGGATTTTCTTTTTTTTTTCCTCTTGCTTCTGCTGCTTTCGGTATTTCCCAGTAGGACACAGCTGACAAGGTACTACCATAACAGACAATAAATAACCTTGTATGTTGAACAGGAAATCCGTTGGATGCAATATGTTTGCAGGGTGAAAATTACATAGAAGGTAAAAGATTTATTGTGTGAATGTGTGAACCCTCTTACTGCAGAGTTCAGGGTTAAACTTACAGTAATTGCATGGTCAAATTAAAAATGTGAGTAGGGAATTTAATATTCTTGCACAATGCTCAAGTGCTCAAAAGATGCAATTTGTAAATCCCTTGTTTAAGTTGCTACATTTAAGACAGTAGATTTACCCAACAACTATCTTCTGCTCATCATTTTGTCCTCCTTATTATTTCCAAGTCTTTTCAGCATTTAATGTACAAAAAAATTAGAGTTGTATGCCATCCATTTCCTGACTCACCCTGAAGCTTATGAAGAATTTCCAGTTGCCGTAGTGGGAGTATCATCTATGAACTGCTCAGTGGGTCTCAGCATTGCCCCCTTTTCACTTTACGTTAAACGGTCACAGAAGAGAAAATACTTCATCTTTTTTCTGCATCTCTGCAGCTTTTTTGCTCCTTAATTAGAATTTTCTCCATTATTGGTGAATTTTATTTTGACCTATTCTTGTTACCGTCTAAATGCTACCCTGCCTGGAGACGATTTTTTCATTAGCATTGACTTTTTTGCTTAACCCTTGATTTTTTTTTTTGATGCTGGCAAATTTTTGCAAATGTCACAAAAAGCCCCTATTATACTGCTGACAGTGGGCGCATTTAGTTCTGTGTTCTAGCGTTCAATTGTAGCAGCTGCTGTCTTGCTCCCTGCCTGGTGGATGTTATCAGCCTCATCCCCGTGTAGAATTTCTTGCTTTTAAAACATAGAATTTGCGTTAGCTCAGCTGTTCTTACATTGTTGTGAATTCCGCAGTGATTTGTTATTATCAAATCACTACCAAAATAGTTCTTTAATGAGGCAAAAGGGAACAATTTAATAGGCTCAGTGAAAGAGAAGATTGAAATAGAACAAAACAGCAAGGAACTTCAATTTATTTTAACAGTGAAGTTATTAGCAAATAACCTCAACCAAATCTGTATTCTGGCATTTGTTTCTTTAAATGTAATACATCAAATTGTTTGTAATGTGCTAGGCGATAGCCTTTTCTGTTGTCTGCTGCAGTGTCCTTAAGCTGCCTTTGAGCTTAGTTCTGGTTTCTGTGGCATCATCCTGGTGTCAGAGCCAATGAGCTTTTCTGGTCCCAGCCTGGCCATGAGCTGATTGTGTCTGAGATTCCCTAAGAACATACAAATCCCACGCAGATAGACCTCCAGGTGCAGAATTGAACCCAGGGCCCCAGCACTGTGGGGCAGCAATGCTAACCAGTGCACAATCATGTCATATTGGGACACTGGTTTGGTATTTCTGCTCCAAAAGGAAAGGCGCCACCTACTGGTCCACGAGCACCACTTCCACAGCAAACTAGTTTTCCTTAGAGGTCTCCCATCCCACTGCTGACTGCTTGTGTGGTGGAACTGAACAGACCACCCTGCTCACCTCTTGCACAGCAGCTGCCCTTGTGTGCCTGTGATATTCCAGTGACTTGAGCAGGAGCAACAGGACTCCTGTCATTGCAGTCTCTGCAAGAAAAATGGCAAAGCACTCTGACAAGTATGCATTTTTCCCTGCTGTGTGAGAGACACAACAGTGAGTTGACTGACAGCTGGTGACTCTAAATTGGGAAGAAACCAAAATGAAGAATTGCAATTTGGAAATTGCAATTATGTTTTAGATAAAAATGAAACATGCCCTCATCTGAGCAACAACCCTAAGCTCTCTGAAGTAGGAGCTGTAGTAGCAAGGCCCTCCCAAGGTAACTTTAAGCTAGGTTAAACTGTGACAAGGGGCAGCAGTGTGGTGCAGTGGTCAGCATTGGTGTGTCGCAGTGCCAGGGCCCTGGGTTCAGTTCTGGACTTGAGGTACAATACGTGTGGAGTTTGTGTGTTCTCCCCGTATTCACTTGGATTCCCTCCAGGTGCTCAGATTTCCTGCCGCAGTTAGTTTAGAAGAAGTGTTTAGAAAATGGGTGGATGGGATGAACTAATGAGAAAAAAAGAGAAGTATGGTTTGAATTTACTCACCTGTCCCCTTATGTTTCTGGAAAAGAACTGCCAGACTGACTCATTATTTACTACTACATAATTTATTATGAAAGTGCCTGATCTACTGTTTGCTGTTCTTGATGTCACCGTGATCTCTGAACAGAAGCAAAGTTAAAAAGAGACTTTGCGTGGTCTGTGCTTATTTGGCTGTCTGGTGTCTTGCAGGAGCTGGAAAGCCTGAGGAAGCAGGCAGAAATCATCCCACAGCTCATGGAGGAATGTGAATCTGTCTCTCAGAAACTTCAGGTACATAGTCCAATCTCACATGGCCCAGACGAAAGATAAACTGTTGGCAAACTCAGGAATGAATTCGATGATGTGCAGTCCCACAGAAATCACTAGCTTGTGTGAAGTCCTATGGTTCAGTTTTTCATGAGTGGATTAGAAGGCTGTGCACTGTTCAGAAGTGTGGAATGTGCTGGGCTGAGATTCACACTGCTTTCTCATTCCAGAGCTACTGTATGAAACAAAAGAAACACTGTTTATACAATTGTTTGGTTTCTTCTCCAATCCAGTCATTGGAAGTCGAGTTCTGTCTTTTCACTATGCTGAAAGTGTTGCTCTTGCTGTTAAATAATACTGTACCTTACTGAGGGTCCTGCATGAAGTCAGGTTTACACGAACAGCTGCATTTCACAAGATTAATAATGAGTGAACTCCAATTCTACTGTTTCAGAAAAGTGATTAAAAACATTTTTGTGTCCGAATTTACAAAATAATAGGAAATAGTCCAGCAAATGACAGAGTAAAAATTCTCAAATGAATTTCCACGTGAAACCTTTAAGAATATAATTTTAAGAATGATTGTGAATTACAGCTGTCTGAATGTTCAACTCGATACACAACAGACAGAAAGTGAGGGGGTGCTAAAAATGACCATCTATATAGGTTGTTTCTCTATTGCATGGTGAGGTGATCTGGTGGCTGGGACTTTATTCTTTAAGTACATTTTAAGATTGGGACAGAACAATTGTGCCATGTTCCTGTGAAGCAATTGAGTTTCACTTGGAGGTTTCCAGCTGTGGGGCTCATGCTTCAGTCTGTGTGCTGTGGGTCAGGAGGCCCCTGTGCCCTCTCAGCAACTATGCTGTAGTTTTTCTCTTCACAGCTCCTGCCAGCCCTGATGTTCTCTAAATAGCCATGGAAAGGCAACAGGGAACAGCACCACTGATGGGCTTATTTTCTAAAGGCCCTTTTTTCTGCTCTAATGGGAGTTATCAGGATCTGACACCTCACCACTTTAAATAGCAGACTGAAATCTGTGACTGCCGTGGTGACACCTATTAGTCATGGCATGTAAGACATGGACTGGCTGGTGACACTGCAGAAGGCAGCAATGAACACGCTGCTTGTAATAATAATGGGTGCTGTAAATTCAGATTTCTGTGAAATCTTTGAGTTGGCTACATCCCAGTGGTTGGGCATGGCTCTTTATGTTTTATTATTCCTGACAAGGCTAATTTTTTTACCCTCTTTTAGCTATTTGTGGCACAAGGGGTCAGATTTCGGATAGCTTTTACACCAGAGGGGCACATTCAAGGGAGCAAGCAGAAGGTGACACACCTACCGCAACGCTCCCATTCCCAGCTTGCCTGCTGCAACAGGTGGAAATTCACTGCAAATTCACTGTATTTGAAAGTCTGAGTTCAGTGCCCCATGTAGAAAACAAGACCTGGACAAAGGACTAAAACCACTATAAAGCTTTTTTTTTTCCATTCCACCCTTTTCAGGACTGCAGCTGAGTGGCAGAGCTATTTTGTTAAAGCCCATGTGCCTGGATTCTAGGAGGGCTGAATGAGGATGTGAAAACAACAATGGCATGCCTGAAATAGTTTCAGGAACAATGCGAACACTCCACTAGCGAACCAACCACTCCTGATCCAACTATTTAAAGGAGGAGCCTTACTTTAGATCGGGTTACAAGTGTCAGCTGGAAACGTCTTCTGAAGCCCCGCTATTGCCTGTTATGGCTGTGTTACTGAGCTGTACAATGACAGGGCTTCACAGCCGCAGAAAATCTGGATTTCCTGTGTCCGACCTATAAGCTTAAGCAAGATACGGTTAGCGATGAAGGCAGAAAATAAATCATTCCTGTACCATCTGCTTGCACCCCTGTCAGTTCTGAACCCAAGACTAATGTTGGCATTTCTGCATTGTGTGTAAACCTTTGCTCTTGTTGTTTGTCCTTGCAGGCTGCCGAAAGGAAAAATAAAGATTTGGAAGACAGGATGGAGACACTACGGGCAGACATCGACGAGAGCCACCACAAGCAGGGCCACCTCAAAGTGGAACTGAAGAAGTTCCTGGATGTTCTCGATGGGAAGATCGACGAGCTGCACGAGTTCCGACAAGGACTGTCTAAATTAGGGATCGATAACTGAGCGAGTGGATTTCAAGAGCTGTAGGCGACGGAGATAATTCATCAGGGCCTCAGATTCATGTGACACCAGTCCTCAAGCGTGTTTCACGACAGAAAAAGCTTAACAAGAAAAAGCAACTGAATGACTGCAGTGTTCCACTCGTTTGCATCTTCTTGTGTAGAGGTTCTGAATTCACTGTTTGAGTCTGAGTTGGTTCTTGCTGAGAAGCACCCTGCCGAGGAGAAAAGGGGGTTTGTTTGCTGGATAGGTGGAGGATTTAGTCTTGGATTTCTGGTAAAAAACCAATATCTAAGGAATATGCAGTTAGAATTTTTGCAGGGTAAAAAAATGTTTTTCTTAAGGGCTGAGGGAATCATGGGGCAAAATGTACAGTTTCACACAAGTAATAATCAATTTAATGTTATTCACAGTGAGATCTGAAATATACTGGCAACCTCAGAAACAAAAGACCTTGTCAGCGATTTATGGGCAGTGAACTCAGGTGAGCTCTCAGGCAGTTTTCACTCTCTGATATGCACATACTTTAACTGCACAGTGTCACAAAGTGCCTCCGTTGAGTCTCTCTCGACTGAAAGTAAAAACCTTTCAGCTGGCAAGAAGTCACTTTTCTAATACTAACTTGAGACTCAAGGATCTTTATTATTGCTATTATTTATTTTGCTACCTGACAGACACAGAATATTTTCCATTAAATTTGAAAGTGTCTGGTTTCATCTGGAACATTTAAAACAAATGAAGCAGGTGTTGGGTAAACAGATGTGCATAAAATGAGTGGAACTAATGTGAATCATCAGTTACTTTCTTTTTTATGATAGTGGTTTTAGTGTCAGGTAACAAAGACTAGTACTACTAATACGGCAGCATCAGTGAAAGTTCCATAATTTTTTAATAGTCAGAATAAATCACATCTTCATTGAAGTCTTAGCACAGATATGAACCAGTGAAACCGTCACACATTCTAATGTTTTAGATCAAAGATTTAGGACCATTATGAATGGAATTTTCCAAAGCTACTTTCTTCTTACATGTCTCATAAAAGGAAGCAATAGAATGTAGTTTGGAAGCTTTGGTAATAATTCACCGGTGCTTTGAAAACAGTTTGCAGGATTGTATGTGCATAAGACAGGAAGGAAAGGCCTTTATTGTAAAAAGACCTTACTTGATCAATGAGTAGTTTTGAAGCAGGCCATAGTTTAATGAAGTATTTTTAAACTATATTGAGATGACTACTGGAATGAAACACCCAAAACTAGGACAGTCACTTAATGAGCAAGTAATGTGTTTGGAGGATTTTGCATGTATAGTGTCTAATGGAATTTTGTTTTTTTGCTTGGAGCGTAGAAGAAAAACATGTCTTTGAATAAGTATTGACACCTGTGAAGAATGTGCTTCCCACATGAATTTGTTTTAATGGTGATGATAGAAGAAGGGTATTTCCTGCTGCAAGACTGTGGAATCGTAAGTGCTGCCACATCTGAGAAACAGAAGCCATGAGCCTTTGGAAAAGTCCCGCGAATGAAGTCGTTTTCTGAGCTTTTCATTGTGCCTGGTGCCTTTAGGTGTGCTGTAGAACTGGTTAGACCCCCAGACCCAGAGAATTGACTGCATTTCTTAAAGTTCTCTGAGAGTACAGTGCTTTCAGTTTCATGCTTGAACATTGAGATACTTGGGTCAGGAAAACAGTTTATTTGCTAAAATCATTTTTGAAATGAAAGGTTCATGCCACAGCTGTGCTAATCTAAATTCTCCAGCTCAGTTCATTCGTTGGGTGTTTCTCACTCACGGTGCTTAAGTAGCTCTGTATTTCTGAAAATCTAAAGCCTTGTGTTTACCCATCTGATGCAGTGCAATGCTGTATTTGAATATACCAGTCAGAGAACATCAACTGGACATCGTATTATAGAAGAACATGTGTGGGAAACACTCACTTGATTTTAGAAATGTACATTTTTATCACATTCAGCAGTTTATGACACAATCAAGCTAGTGTTTGCTACAGAGGTACTACTTCTCTCCCTTCTCCAATTATACATAGTTCCTCATCTCCAAGTGCTGGAATCAGTGTGTGTTAACTGTTTTATCCAAGTCGTCTCTAATAGTACTACAATGTGAGTACATTTGGGTTCTTTCCATCCCTGTAAAAAAGGATTTGCCTTTTGTGGTTTATATTCAATTTATTGTATCATATAGAGTTGTTTATCGTTAAAATATAGTTTAATTAAAAGATGCTGCCTCTTTGTTTTCCTTTCCTAATTGTTATGGCTGAATGTCGGTCCTGTTGATCTCGGTTGAGCTTCTTGGCGGTAATGGGGAGTATTCCAATGTGCTCAGTATTGTTACTCAGGAACATGACCTGACCTCTGGACGTCTGTAATTTAACAGCTGTGTATAATGAACTGAGGATTTTAATGCTATTAGGTTGTGTATTTGATGAGGGTATTCAAAATAACCTTGTTTAGCTTGATTCCAACAAACAAAAAAAAAACTCAGAAGGAAGGGGGGCAGGCATCATCTTTGATCATCCCTGCTTTAAATATGAATGAAAAGCTGACATTTTGTGTGTGCAGGCACTCAATTGTTTTTCTTCTTTTAAAGAGAAAAATAATAGTTCCCAGATTTCTGCTATGCTCCGATGTCAACGCCTATAATGAAGGAAAGGCATGTTGCCTTGGAAACTTGATCTGCACTTAGTCCAACTATTGATTTCATTCTTGTTGCAAATAGCAATGTAAAGGCTTTATGGGATCATGTAAAACTGCATGTGTGTGTTTTGGCACTTACTGTACATGGTGTCCCTGCTGCAGAAAGCGTTTGCATTGGGCAGAGACTGTTGTGTCTAAAAAAAGGATCAAGCAAATACCTGCAGCAATGGAATTATGAATTTTAAAAGCAGGGAATTACAGGGTGATGCATTATTTTTTTAAGGCAGAACTGCTTTAACGCAACATTTCTGCAGTGCTCAATGTCATCAAAGAAATAGTGTCTACTGTATATCGCTATTGAAGTCCTTTTGCATAGATGAGGAAAGATATCTTGTGGTCCGGTCTCCTTGTCAAAAGAGAAATGATGCCCTGCAATTAAAACAAGATTTGTAATGGCACACAACCCCAACATTTTAGCACAGTAACCCTCCCCCTGTAGTTTGAATGACCAAGACTTGTATTCAAGGCACATCTTTCCTCTGGCACTCTACGTACAAGGTTTGTCTTCAAACGGGTAAGATCTGGTCCAAACCTAACACTGGTTAGCAGCAAAATATACAGTGATGAACTGGGAGAAATAAAAAGTTAAAAATCTATTTTCCTGTGTAGAAAAAGGTTTCTCGCAGTTGGGAGAAGCAGAAAAATCTTTCTCTTGCATGCCTTTCTAGTAGGGTGGTTCAGATCTCTGTCAAACATTCTCAATCTGTCAGTGTGATGAGTGGGTGAGTTGGTAAAATATAATTAAGAATGTGTTGCAGAGATGTTACTGTAGGCTACCACCGCTGAGCGATCCTGTTTCCATGGCAACCCTGGTTGCTGGGATTTGTATTTGCTCTGATGGGTTGATCTGTGCTTGGGGTGCTTTCTTCCCGAGGTTGGCCCTTCTGTTCCCCAAAAAGGCTCTGAGCTGCTGCTGATGCACGCAGTCGGAGAACCGAAGCTGTTAAAAGCCTTGAGTAACCCTCGGCGAAGTGTAGGAATTCAGCCCTTCTTGCTTTAACAAAGGGGACCGATTCTACATCAGTGACCATTTGTAAAGAGTGAACAAGAGGCAGCCAAAACAGATTTCCAAAAGCTGCAGGACCAGTGTGTTGTTTCCTGTTCTGCAGGTTTACCAGGATACATCCAAGGAAGGAGACTGTTACTGGCAACCTTTACATCATGACCTGATGCACTTGTGTCATGAATAAATGCATCTGTCAACTGAAAAAATGTTGATGTAGGTGATACAATGCATCTTGTCCACGTTGGCACATTTACCATGTTCCACACTGCGCTGCGGCTAGAGAGCTTTTGCTGGAGTGATGTGTGATGCCCAAATAAAAATTCTGCTGTTGACCCTCTGGGACAGGGACTGGCGGGTCCAAAAGACTAAACGTGCAACACCAGCCTATTGCAATTCTTGGGTCAAGTTTATCTTGCATTCAGGAAATTATATTCTCTTGTTCTACAACTATGATGTACAAGATAATAGCCTTGCTCCTACTTGAATCTCACATTCCGGAACGCCCCAGCACGTTCAGAGGTCAGGGAAGGAAGAGGAAAACTTAAGATCTAAATATTCCCCAGATATGTCCATCATGATTTTTTGTTCATGTTCAGCATCTAGATATTTGAGGCAGAAAAGGTGCTGAAAACACAAAATCAGAGCACAGTTTTGTTTATTGCGCTGTACTGTACAAGCATTGCCAGTATCTCACCAGCTTTTGATTTGGCAAAGACCGTTTTACTCATCCTCATGACAACTCATACATTATGCTATGAATTCCATACTTTTTTTTTAATCCACTTCCCTTGGCAACTATCTTGGCAGCATCTTCTACAATACTCACTAACTTAACTTCCAATACCAAACACGTCTTTTTACAATAGGCGCTCCAAAAATTAAAAATATATTTAATATCTTTGAACATAACAACTGTTTCCTCTGTCTGCCTGAGAAGATAGTCATTATAAAGAATCGGGTTCAAATGACGCAAGAACTAGCCTGCGCCATTATACTGCTTTTCTTAATCCTATTAAATGTTTTAATTAAGAAGGTCCACTTTTTTCTATACAAAAAACTTTTAGACACACCTTTTAAATGAAACAATCCACTCCTTACACATTTGGAGTGAAGAATCATTTAACATACTGAAATTCTAAATATGAAGGGAAGAATATAACTGAACTGACCAAACTGGTATTGTCACATAGGTTTACAGCACAGCCTTGGTGAAACTGAAAACACAGATGAACAAAATGAAGGATATAATCCTTAAAGAGCATGTGCTCACTTTCTGAGGTCATATCTCTAAAAGAGAAAAGCGTCTCTGTAATTTCTGCAACCACTAGATGGCAGTGCTCTTGAGAACACCTGCTCAGGGTGCAGAGACAGTTCAGCGACATAACTAGAAAGACATATGTATTTCATCTTCCTTTCCAATGAACGGCAGGAACAGATGACAGGGCTTAGAGTGTCTGCCCTACAGCTGTAGCCATCCTAAAGACTAATATTACATTTGCACACATTCAAAACAAATACCAACATATCCACAGTAATAAACTTGATGAAAATGATTCAAAAAACACAATCCTAAAGGCACTTTTCGGGTTAGTGCTGACACATCACACTGCTAAAGAAACTGAACCTGAAAAGGCTGGAAACTCCACTTATTTTAATACAAGAAAGATGAATAATCAGTGCAAAGTTTTTTTTTGCTTTCTAGTGAAGTTTCATAAAATTATATTGTTAATCAACGAACTTTTTTTACAATTCTGTTTAAATAATTAGATGCAGCATAAAAGTGTCTGAGTAAAGAGTCCTTTCTGCAAATAACACAAGACAAAATGATGACTAATTCAAAGGCAGGATTGATGATTAATCCAAATGACTCTTCAACCTTGATAAACTGCTCTCACTCCTCTTCCTCATTAAGCTCAATGAACTGAGACCAAGGACACCATTCCAAAGACCACTTGGCTGCCACATTTCATTGGATGTGCTGATATTTTCAGAGACTGACGTGCAAGAATACAGTAAACACCTTTGTATAAAGTCCAAACCATGTGATGTGGTTCCGCACAGGAAACTGCAAGAGAGATTCTGTCCCCCAGTGGGAACAGCAGCGAAAGAATGTCTGGAGCGAGCCGCAGAAAATCTAACATGCTTCAGCCCCTGTATCAGGTTTTTACTCCTGCAGATCCGTTCCGCTTTTGTTAACTGCACCCACATGAAGAGGAGTAAAGTGCAATCAGGGTGTGCAGTATGACTTACTCTATTTTCTGCATCGTACTGTCAGGACATCCATCCCAGAAACAGAAGGGCAAAGCAGGATAATGTCCTGAATGGGACATTAATTCACTGGAAGACACAACCAAGAAGGGGCAATTTAATTACACCAATGCCTAAAAGGCTTGTCTTTGGAAGGTGGGAGGAAAGTGGAGCAAATGGAGGAAACCCAAGCAAACACTGGGAGAACGTGCAAATTCTTCACAGAAGGTGCCCCAGTATGAAATCTAAACCTAACATCTATGAGCTGGGAAGGCAGCAGGGCTACCAGGCAGGACATCAGAAAGGAAAAGACCTCCCATTCAGTATCAATCTTTAAAAGATATCGATAGCAAACACACCCTTTAAAAAGCCAATTAAGGATGAATGCCTTTCAGTACTTTTAAGACTTTCAAGACCCTATACTGGGAGCCCCCTGAAATGACATTGAGGAGGCAGCAAAGGGCCTAGCAGTCCCAGTCTCCTGACTGTCCATCCCCTTGCTCCTCACTGTCAGACTCAGAGGACACTTTCTTCATTCTCTGCATAGCAGCCTTGATACTACGCTCCAGGTCGGAAGCCGTGTCCCTGCTGCCCTCGGTCTCGGGCGCCTGCTGCACTTTCTTCAGCTTCACCCCCTGCCTGATGGCCGACAGGATGCTGTCTCTGACGTTGTCTGCTCCCTTAGTCTGGGGGCGGGCAGACGCCTCCACCTTCCGCAGGAGGCTTTGCCCTCTCTGCAAGGAGGCCAGCACTTCGTCCATGGACCCTGCAGCGGGCGGGGGGGAATAAAAGCGTGCAGGTTAATGAGCTTTCTTTCTTTAAAAGAAGCCAAGTGTCCCTTAGATGAAGAATTTAAAACTGGGTGACAGACTCCGCTATCACAGGAGACCCGTGGCCATCACGCCACACGCTTTCACATTGCCCACTGAAGCCGCGACCTCATTCTTCTGTGAGCGATCCTTCACTGTGCTGCATGGAAGAGATCATCAAACCCCAAGACTGCCCAGAGCGATGGGAACCTTCCACTGTTCCAGCACTACTGAAGCAGAGGGAGCACAATGGAATACAAGGACATCATTGCTGTCTCCAGTAGAAAACAAACTCTAAAATGTTTGGATACCTATAAAAATAGGAGGATATATAAAGATACATTATTTTCTTGTTTTATTCTAAAGTCTCCTGTTTGGAAAAGCCAGGGTGTGAACCCCTGTGTCCAGACTGAATTCCAGTCTGATCTTCCTAAATTTCCCCCTTAATTCCCCTGATGAAACCGATTCTCCCTCCTCCTGATCTGCTGTGCAGTGGGGCTGCTGGCACTGAATGGCTATTGCGTGTCACTTCAGTGGTGGAAGCAGTTTGTCCCTTCCTGTAGGTAGTCCTTTGAAATCCTTTGGCAAGATAAGTTCAATGCAAATGCTACAGTGTAATTAAATGAATTAATTGGGGGAATCTAAGCACAGCTATTTTAATGCAAAGGTATTCCCAATGGGTTCAACCACACAAAGGCAAACCTGTGTGAACAAATTAAATAAAATGTATGTTATACGAGTAGGAAATTGTTTCCATTCACATTACCTTAACCGGTAACCACAAAAATTAAAATAGCAGATGTATAATGAAGAACAGGTAATTATGGATTAACATTTCAACTAGACTCAGACAGCCCATTAGATATTTCTGAAGCTAGACATCTTCCCAGGGCCAACAACACAGGTGGAAACTACAATGTGTAAAAATGTACCCTTTTAATCCCTCGTGGTTTATAAGCTTTTGGTCCAAGAGAGTAACCCTACTGTGAGGTCATGGTGCCATGTGAAAAGCCTAATTCTGAATAGCTGAAGAATTTTCTTACAGACTAATTCTGGATATGCTGCCTTAACATTGCCCACCAATAACTGAGTTTTTTTAAATTGATTCGTTTCATTGGTGAACAGTTACTACATTTAACCCCCATGCTGCTATGTGTCCATATTTATCATTTACTTTCTGTGCCTTAAACAGTCTTTCTTTTGCCCCTTTAAAATGGTGAGGCTGAACTGGAAGGGAGCAGCTGTATTAAAATAAAGTAGCAGTATTCTGTGCATTAAGAAAAATAAATGGTTACCTATATTCTGCTTCAGGGTGTTTTTCATGCCAAATGCTGTGCCCTCTTTCTCGCAGCGGAGTGGCATGGGCTGGTCAAGCAGTTCTGGGTCAGTGGAGGGTGGGGCAGGCAGGGGAGGGGGAGGGGGAGGAGGAGGAGGGGCTGGAGGGGGCGGGGCTGGGGGTGGGGCCACTGGAGCGGCCTCATCTGGAGCCACTCCTTCAGATCTCTGTGGAAGGAAGATGTGAACTGCGATGTCGTTCTGTTTCCTCGGGTTCTTTTTCTTCAACAGCTGGGCAGACTTCCTCGTGGACACAGCTTTATTATCTTCAGCAACTGGCGTTAGGCTGACGATGGACATTGGCTGAGAAAGGTCTAACGGAGGTGCGTTTCGAACAGCAGCCTGGGGATGATGCGTTTTTAACACAAACTGCCCCTGTCTTTTCTGGAAAAAAAGGAGAGTTTAAACTATTTTTAACCAACATATTTGAATTCTATCTCCTGATTAATTGGAATGCTAGCGTACTGGGAACATTAAAAAAATATGGTTCTTATCTTAATAACATAGCAATGATCAGTTGTTTGTACTAGCAGTTAAATGCTTTGGTTGAACACTTCTCATATAGCATTAAAAATCTAAAATGTTCAGGTCCACATAAGCCTTCATCGTGAAAATCTAAAACGTAGGAAAAATAGTCTAAGGAAGCCAGAGAAGGTGCTCGGTGGCTAGGGTCAGCAACGCTCACCTCTCGGAAGGTCTTCAGCCTTGTCAGTGTCCTCTCTCGCTCCTTATCCACCCATTCCTTCTTCTTCTGATCCTCTTCCCTCTTCTTCTCTCTTTTCTGCAATACAAAGGACCATCACTTCATTTGGGGCTTTGTTCCAGGGCTTCAGTGCAGTATCTGGGGATGGCTATCACCCTGCTCACCAAGTGAATGCTGTGGTGCTGCAGGAACCGTGTTTCATTCTCCTGTGCCTGCTTGTGCTTCAGCTCGTGTGCCTCCATGCACTGGTCCTGCAAACGAGAACCAGCTGACAATGAAAGTGAGCCCTGGAGTTACAGCTGACCTCCTCTTTCCAAGCACCTGTTTTCTACCAAGTTGGCATGAGGAAAACAGCAGATCACACACTTTACAAGACGATGATAACTCTAAAAATACAGCAATCTTGCAAAGACGCAAAACGTCGTTATGGTAGCATCACAATTCCAGTAAACACTGGATCAATAACTCCTTTTCACCTGTAGTGCAGAAGCAGAGCGCTGAGTCTATACTGATCTGGAGATGAAGATAATACCCCTATTCTTAGATTCCAGGCCTTCGGAGTTTTGTAAAGAGCCCAGTGTAAAGTCTGACTCTGCTACAGCAATAAAAAGATTTAGTGTACAGAGATGTTTCATCACCGGTATTTAAAATCAAACTATGGATAACAAAAAAAAACATAACTCATCCACTCTAAAATGCTTATATTGCAATGCTAGAATAAGGAATGCACTTCATTAATACCAAACATCGTAACATTGTAAGAGTAAAAGAAACATGGGTAAGTGAGGATAATGAGGGTAAATCTAAAATGAATGGGTCCAGATTTCTTCAGTGAGACAGGTAGAAAAGAACAGTTGAAGATGGGGACTATAAAGAAAAAAAAAACTGAAAAATATAGAACTGAAATAAGAGGGTACAAGTAAGTTAGAATCCATGTGGATTAAATTGGAAACAGAAATTCTGAGGTCTCAAAATGTACGCTATAGATCACCTGATGCAGGCATGGGTGAAAACAGCTCACCAGAAGATGAGACTGGGAAACATATAGAAAAGGTGATATTAATGGGTGGCTTCAACTCTCCACACATAAATTGGGATATTGCGATAAAGAACACAGCAACTAATATTTATGAGGTTGAAATGGTTAAGCATTGCTTGTCTACCATTCTAAAGACACCAGTGAGGGAAATGTTCTAATACCAGGATATAATTAAGGGAGTAGCTGTAAAAGGAGCACAGTCAATTGAGACCATAATATGATATATTGCGATGTATATATTAGGTCCTTAAAATGAGAGTTTAAAACATTAAAAAAGCAAACCATAATAATGCAAAGCTAACAATGAACTGGAAACAGATGGATTACAGAAGACAGACTCCATAAACAATGTTACATATTTTTTTAAAATGTATGCTTTAAACAATGACGTGCAAATTGTTAACATACAGATTAAGTTAAGGAAAAAACTAAAAATTTCAAGAAGACTCCATAAGCCATGTAAAAAGTCTCAAAACTGATAAAGAGCAGACTGAGCTACAGGCACAGCTAAAGACCAATTTAAGAATTCCCAAAAGGCAAGACAGTAAAGAATATTCCAACAGATGCAAAAAAAAAAAAACATACAAAGCTTTTTTTGGCACAACTGAACAATACTAAAAACAAGTATGAGCAAGAACCTGCTATATAATAGGGAATTAATAATAAAAGATTATAAAATATATAGTATGAACATTCCAAGTAGATTTTTACAATATAAAATCAAATGGTTCGATTTGAGAGAAGACCATTCGGCCCATATACAGTAGCCTACTTGCTCTTGATGTATATGCTGACCATGAAGTATAAGATGATGGAAGTAGAAGATGTCAACAGGGTATGAGCTCCAGCGGTATTGGGTCATTGTTAACTGAAACTTACATTCTAAAGGGCCTAGGATGGTTAAAAACGAATAAATTGACAAGGCCAGACTGTATTTTCCCAGTCTTACTTAAGACAATGAGTGATATTATTCATATCCCCATAACTAGGATTACCTCACCTCAGAATCTGAATGGAACATAGAGATCATAGCATTGCAATTGCAATACCAATTCATAATATGACACGTTCAGCAACAAAACAAAAATAAAGATCTTCTAAATCAAAGGTACGCTGGTAATATCCAGGTAAGGAGGACGTTTGACTGGCTGGTGTGGGTGTTTAGCAAAAAGACCGCGGGCGCTCGGTACCTTCTTGTTGCGCAGATAGGCCCTCCTGGAGCAGATGCCGCCTCTCTTGCTCTCCAGGCGCTGCAGCCGGCGCTGCAGGTCCCTCAGGTCCGGAGAGCTGGCATCCCTCGGGCTCCTCCCGGCCTGCTCTGCCTGGTGCAGCTCCTCCTCGTTCTCACAGGTGTCGTAGTACACCACCTCCTCCTTCAGCTCTGCGCCCAGGCCAGCACAGAGGGCCCAGACAGACAGCACACATGCTTCATATTTCAAACTGCCAATGCATTGTTCCAGCACAAGCCCCAAATACATGGTGCAGTCTCAGAAACTGCAATTAGGAGTATCGTGTGAATAAGATGAGTTTGCACATATAGAAAACTCAACAGAAAAATACACAGCACCCAAAGAAGATATAAAGGTGTAACAAAGTTTTTAAAAGTGTGCAGGTTTGTAAAATGCATTAGACTGACATCTGTCCTTTTGAATAAAAAAACGTTTGTACATTACATTTTGCTTTTCTGACAGAGCCCATCACCACAGTGCACTACTTAAAATGAACACATGTCTTAAATGTGCACACACACAACCTTCTTATCTCAGAACAGTAAACCCAAAGCATCTCTAGTCCGATTAAATACAACCAACTCTGGATATTCAGCACGCACAGAACTATATTAAGGAATTAATTTAAGCGGGTAGAAAAGCTTATCATAAAGCATGGCTGCAGCCAGCAATTGCAGTTCTTTACATAAGATGCTGCAGTATAAACACAGTTTAATACACATTGCAGTGTTAATACCTTTAATCTGTCTTCGTACTGTGTCTATCTGAGCTAGCAACAGCAGCTCCTCGTTCTTCAGAATTTCAAACTTCACGTCGTATAATTCCAGCTGAGCTTCATAATACTGCATCTCTAATTCATCGACGGATTCCACGCTGTCCCTTTGATCAGCAAGGCTTTCCACCTGCAAGAGCAAACACCTCTCAGAGAAACACAGCCGCTGTCTGGAAACCCGCTCTCGAAAAGTGCAACCAGGAGATTTCTTTCCTACATCCTTTGTGCGGCTCATTGTAATTAGAGATTTGTCAGTTAATGGTATTTAGTTTAACAGCTGGCCTCTGCTTATTCTGAACAAGAGCAAGAGTCAATGTCAATGTCAAAGTCAATGAAATGACTTGCCCAATCACTGTGATGCTGATACAGATCAATCTCCAAAATCTGTTTGCCTAAAGAGTCTAATCTATTCACACCCCTCTGAATGATTTTCTGACATACACTGTTTTAAGATTCTAGACATTTCTTGTAATTCACCATAAAGAACAACAGCCAACAGCTTAAGAGTATACAACACAAAACTAGATATTTTCTACAACAAGAAAAACAGCAAAAGTGGCCTCTTTTCTTAAATTTGCAAAGGAAAAAGTCTACCTCACAAAAAAAACCATTCACACAAACTGTTTTAGCATATAAAAGTGGCTTAGTAATGACCATGGCCAATATTTCTTCCAATAATTCTGGGAATTAATTAACTTCAATACTTCTGTAGGAATCAAAATGCAGCCTAACAAGCAACTGAAGTGTTTATATAACCTGGAATCCTGTTTTCAGCAGATTGAAACAGGCACGCCAGCTTAAGAACAAATAAACTCCAATGACAGAGAAAAATGGAAGCAATACGTCAGCTCTACCTACAAAATCAAGCGGTTTCCCAGAACGTGTAGGCGTGTGGGTGGGTGCAAACTGGTCAATAGCTTTCTTGCTAAAATTAGGGCATTAAACAAGAAGAAATGGGAAGGGCACACTGAAAAACAGAAAATTGGTTTGACTGGAAGTGATACAATACCTCCATTAAGCATCAAAGTGAAATACTCAGAAGATACAGAGATACTAAGATTGTCAATATGATGCAAATCATTTTTTGCCACACCCCAAATCCACTGAGCATTTCAGATGAACACAGTCTTATTTAATAAGAAGTATGAAATCTTAAAAATAAGAAATATATAAATGCATTTATATAGAGTAGAGGGGAGGATGTGGTAGCAACCCAAAATTTTAAAAATTCAAGGGTTTTTATTAAACTGCTCCCAATTATATCTGGAGATGGAGATACCCAGCTCCTACAATGTGATCTCAGCCCTGTAATGCCCGCTGTCAGGCTACACAGCCCAGGAGCTGAGCCTGACCCTAGCAGGCATCAGCTGAGTCATTCTGGAACACATGACACACATCACAGCAGGCGATTTTTTTGCCAAGAAAACATTTTTTTTGTGAGCATCTCAAAAAAGCCTGGCAATTCATTACCAGGGGGACTTGAACCAAAAACCCCTTGAACGTCTGACTCATTCTGCAGTGTCTCAGACTGCGCAAGCCACCTCCACCAGCCATCCAGCCCCCTGTCCTTTGGATTCAAGCACACGGTTCGGGAATAATCTGCACACTGGCTGTATGGGACTCCTTACACTTTTCCTGATGTCCTCCTTCTTGCGGTTCAAGCACATTTCCTTTGCTCTCATGTGCTGCAGCATCTCTTTGGCCTGCATGAACTTGAGCTTCTCCAGCCTGGGAGAGGCCGAGGCCCACGCGGCAGGGCCAAACCTCTGTCTGTCCTCCTCCATCTGCTTCAGCATCCCTGCAAACACAGAGAAAGATGCTCCTGCAGGTGAGCACAGAGAAAACCACTGTAACATCGAACTTCTCTACAAGGAATCCACTTCTGCCAGACCTAATGCACATCACAAGAAGGAAGCTCTGATAAGACTTTAAGACTTAGAATACACTTTACATCACCCCACTGGAGGGACAGATTGATGATCTTAATCTCTGCAAATGGTAGGTCATAAATAAAGATGCCCTCTTCTTCTGATACTCTATTAATATGCGTTTACGTTGTATCTCATACTGTATATAATTCTGAACACATCCTCCATTTTGATACTTTTATTCTATTTTTCAGAGCTTCTAGCGCCCACTTCTGTGGTTGATTAACAGAGGCTGATCCCTGCCAGTCAAGAGCGTGGAACACTATGGAAAATCAGTTTGATTGCACTGATCAGCAGATGTGATCAACCAGCAGCTAATTTTCAGACAGCCAGCTCTGCATTCCAGGGGGCAGAAGGGAATGCATCAGTAATTTCATTTGTTCTGAATTCTAAAACCCGATGTCACAGACCGCCCTGCATTCTGCATCAAGGTCTGTGGGTTGCCCGTAGAATTTGCACCCGAGAAACAAAAGCTTTGACAGTTAAAAGGACCAACAATCTGTGACTCCTGCACACATTTACAGCATAAGCTAAAACAGATTAGCCACGCAGAAGTTCTGTTGTCAGGTTGTCAGGGCTAAAAAATGGAATCTGACACAATTTGATTTTCTACACTCTCTACATTGCTTTTGGCAATAAGAACAATATCGACGTTTTACCAAGCTGATGTACGCAGAGCTCTACTCTCTACGCAGAGTGAGGGACACAAACCCCACTAAACTACCTGCCAGAGCCTTTGATGTTTCTACAAAGTAGTTCACAGTGATGTCCTGAATGGAAGACACAGCATCTTGAGCTCTCTTCCTCCACTCCTCCGCCTCCTTCTCCAGAGCCTCTATTCTTTTAGGACCCAAATCCTCGAATTCCAGGGATTTCTGAAAACCAAAAGCCCAAAGTAAGACATCAAAACCATTCTTTTACTTTGCAACAATTCATCCACAAATACACTGCACGCTTTTGTCCAAAAAAGCACAGTGCTGGGTGAAATCAGTGCTCACACTGAGAAGTAACTATGAAGTATCTGCTCTGCTCCGCGTAAGTATGTGACAGTATTAATAATGAACTCAAGTTAAGCAAAGCTCAAACTCCACTGGCCTGTCAGAAAACATCTGTTAAGTAAAATATTTAGATTTAATTCTTTTCACCAATGTGTTTATGTGGCACAGAAACACGCCATTAACTGGAGGCTGACAGCGATGTCAGTCTCTCTTGTATGCTCGATATGTCTTCTCTGTCAGGATGACCTGGTATTCACTGAAGCACATGATTGCATCAAGAGATTACAGTAGCCTTATTCTCTTTAATTCACATTCTTTCCACATAGAGGACTACTACTGTTTTAATATTTAAAGCACTTGTAATACACATCTTTTTCTGTTGGATTATAAATTAACATACAAATTTAATATCTCAAGGCCTTGAAGATAAGCGTGGACATTTGAACCCATTACTAAATTCAGCTTTTTTGGTCTGAGATCTACAGTACAAATAATGTAAATACCAATCACATAAATACATAATTCAGAAAAGACAGGTTTCTTCTAATCTATCATTCATCCTATTTTACATTGACACCTAGTGGAGCAGCTACAGTTAAGATCAGTTTTTAAGGTAAAAGAGACATTATGTAGCACATACATCAGATAATTAAGCACATAAACCTCCACCGAGGTTTTAAATTCTGCTACACTAATACAATTCTGCTGGTCTTTAACGAGATTTAAGCATGACCGTACCATTATCTCCATTTTACACAACATAGCCAGCTCCCTCATGTCACGGAAGGGCTGGAGCAGGTACTGATACAACTGTGTTGCCACGGTAACTAATTCCTTGTAAGCCTCATCCTCTTCTTCATAAATCTTTAACAGGAGAACCATCTTGTCCGCAGCTTTGTGTTGTTGGAGTATCTGAAAGAAAATATTTATTTTTTTTATAACTGGATTCATTTAACTGCTACTTGTAGATCTTGTGACCAATCTAATCACCATGGGCTTTGGTTGCTTTCTTACAATTACAATACTGGATGCTTGAATATCTGCCAGTCTACATCAGGCTTCACCAACTCTGGCCCTGGGGATCCAGTATCTCAGGACCTGGGTCAATTAATCAAGTGATTTGTTAGATTGAGTACTTCAGAGATCATTTGGAACAAAAATCTGCATACTCTTGAGCTATAAAGGACCACAGTTCCCTTATTTGAACAATTGATATATGCTTAACTAAACAGTAACTTAAGTAACTGAAATAAAGTGTGTTCATTGTTTTGCTAAAAAGGGTGATTATTGTGGCCTATAAGATTAACTGGAATGGGGCTCTCTAGTAAAAAGGTTGGAGACCCCTGGTCTACATAACTAATGTTCATTTATGCCCATGTGAGCATTTATGAAGGGCTATTATTTGTAAAAACAGATAAATAAACAAACATTGCTAAATTAATTAAAGCAATAACAAGGAACCAAAGACGTAACTACAGATTTCTGCAAGAACAGTGCAATTAAGGAATTATGTCCTTCTGCTATGTTGAGTTCCAGCCTTAAACAGTAATTCCTGTTCTTGTTCAAGTTACACAAACAAGTTTAGGTTCCTTATATATCCAACACTGCATCAAGAGAGAAGTCTTATTCAATTATATAATGCTATGCAGTCTTTGTGAAACACTGCAAATGTTACTTACAATATTATATTCCTAATACCAACTCTCCAACCCCAGTACATAGAGATTTTTTAAATTAGTATTTTCTGATTTAAAAGGCTTAGAATAATTTTGCTGTGATCAATTAAGAAGCAATTTTTATAAATGGTCATTTAGAGATCACATGGGCCCATGATCTTCGTACACATCAGCCCCACAAAGTTCTATATTCTTTTAATTGGACAGATCATTTATCTGATCAAACTTTCTGGTCTTTCCAAGTAAAACTAACTGGACTGAGGCTCTTCAGAACAAAGGCTGGTGATCCTTGCCTTCTATCATACAGATCCCAGAATTCAACTTTTCAAGAAAGAGCAAATCCAATCTCCCCTGCTTGACTAGTGTAAGAAAAAGGGAGCAGGTGGGAACATGGCACATGCAGAGTGAATAACTGTAGGCTTACAGGCTACATTACCACCTGGAATGGCACAAGACTGCCCTGAAACCAATTTCAGGCCCATGGTTCTTCTCTGCCCTTGATATACAGGTATGTACACCACTTTCACAGTCTTATCAGCACCACATTTCCAAAAGTAAGTAAGCACCCTGCAATCTTGCATGGGTCAAATAATGAGCTTAAATGAAGCAGCACCAGGAACAGGTGAGGTAGTGAGAGTGGTCACTAGGATATATTGACTTCCTGAGACCAAAGCTTCAGTATCTAATCTTCAAATGATTATTGATAAGATAAGATCACTTTATTTCCATAAACAATTTCTTACATTAGGAATTTGCCTTTTCGCATACCCCAGCTTGCTCTCCATGAGACACACAGGCAGGGAGAGAAGCTTGGGGTCAGAGCGCAGGGTCAGCCATTTATACAGCACCCCTAGAGCAGCACTGAAAATGAAAAAGCCAGAGGGTCTTTCCTAATCTGAGAGACTGACTACATCAACTTTATTCCAGACATGAAAAGCAGTGCCATATAGGAAAACATTTGGAGGATGATTGTCTTCATTTGCAATAGAAAATGTCAAAGACCTACTGCAGCAGGAATGTGATTCACTCTAAAGGATTGTGCAAAGGGAAAGTTTGCTTCTTGAATCACTTCAGGCACAACACATTTTCCCTTTCAGTTTCTATATGAACCAGCGCACCAGCTTCTGTCACTGCAATGCTAACTTCGTCAAAAGATCCAAACTGTACTGTATATCACAAGACAAGCACAAACACCTAAAGGCTTTCAAAAACTGTAGCCTGGTTTTGTGTTGGGAGGTTCTGAAAGACAGGAGGGAAACCTGTACCGCTCCACAGCCAACTGACTGTTGACTGTCATCTTCTTCACTCTGTCACTTTTTGTACCCAGACCTCACTAGATATTAGTTTGTTTAGTTCTATTATCAATTTGAAATGTCATATTCCAACAGCAGTAGACAAAACGCTAAAAGAGATGTTGCCTTGGGACGGACAGCTCGGGGGACGGAAGACAGAGGTGGGACACACGGCAGGCTGACAAAGCATCGACGAGACTCACCTTTCTAAGCTGCTCTCGCGCCCTGACCACCTGGTCCTCCATGCTCTTCTTTTTAAACTCGTGGAGGTTTTCGAAGTACTCCTCAACGTCCCGGCAGTCCTGCGCGAACAGGCAGTCCAGCACGATCGTGCGGCCGCAGATGTCGACGGCGGTGCTGAAGTATCTCTCCAGCTGGCGGCAGGGCCAGTCCAGGTCCATGTCGGGCTCCTCCAAGCCAGACGGCCTGCCCAGGAACAGAAGGTCCCATAGATTCCCCACCTCAAAGGCCGACAAGTCGGGGAAAAAGGCCCCCAGCACGTCGCTGACCCCCGTCAGCTGCCGATGGACATTTCTAAGATCGCTGACCGAAAAGAGGCCGGCCCAGCTGGTCTGCGTGTCCGCCGGAGCCTGCTCTTCCCTGCGCCTCTGCCTCTGCAGGGTCCGGTTGTGACAGGTGACGGCGAACTTGCACTCGATTACATTCCACTGGACGATGAAGCCCAGCTTAAAAGTCTCGTTTTCTTCAAAGACGTTGCTCTTGATGGCTACCCAGCCGTCCAGGCTGTCCAAACGTTCGTAGTCCATGATCTTCCAGCTCATCGAGACGCTGCATTTGGCCCAGAGAAGTCTTTTTCCGGAGACCTAGCGCTGTTGTTTACGCGTTCCGCCATTTGTACTACGTCATTGCCCAGTTGTCATCTTTGAACACCTGACTCACCCGTCACGTGCTCAGAAATGGCGCATGGATGAAAGCTTGCTCTTCATCTGAGAGGGCTTCATTTAAAGTTGAGCTTTATGCGTTTTCGAAGTAGCATTGCATATACTCACCAGAAATGCCTTTAGTCTAAATATAAGTATTTTTATTTTTATATCTTCCCTTATCTTTGTGATGCCATATACCGTAGTTTTCAAAGCAGTGGTTATAATATCTTTTTTTAAATCATTCTTAATAAAACCTCACCATTCTAAACAAAAAAAGTTAACAATTAATTATGAAATATTAAAACCATAACTGCATGTCAGTGTATTCCTGGTAACCGCTGTCGGAACAGATACAACGAGACTCAATTTTATACACTGCAAGAGCTGGGTTGAAAAATTGCTTTTTACAGTATATCTTTGCAACCGCACGTTTTCCCCACGTTACAACATCTATACAGTTAGTCTATACGGTAAGCGTCTATTCGTTAAACTATAGCTGAAAAAACATGTAGCGTGTTTTAATGAAGTGATTTGAGAGAAAAAAAAATGTTTGGTTTGGAATCTAAATAATTTCATACATTTTACATATGCACTTGAATAACGTGATTTATGTTAATGATTCACTCTGTAAATAAGGATTCCTAACCACTGCACACCCATGTCCCCGTATGGACAAGGCGAATGCCTTTAAATAATTGTAAATATAAGTCTCAATGAAAATGCATTAGAATGTCTGACTTCTGTTTTAACATGAATGAGCTCTAGAATCAGAGTTCACATCAACCACACTCGTTAGATCGAAGTATTTTAGAGCAAACGTTAAGCTTTACTGCCCAGTCGCAGATTCAGAGGAAACGTTCAGACTGCTTCCACGGGTGGCCGGCGGATCTGTAAAGAGGTGACCCGATCCCCAGTGACATGTGAGAAGCTGGCTCTTACACAGGGATAGGGTGGGCTGTGACACCGAGCAGTGCCCTTCTATTTTTGTATCGGGGGCTATTTACTGCTGAAATCCCGACTGAATTTACTGCACAGCCACGTCCATGAGAGCCTGCTGAAACTCTTGCGGCAAATCTGGGGAAACCGTGAAAAATACTTGAACAGGTAAAATGACCTTGCATCCCTGGGAACTATTCTTCCTACATTTTTATATCTTAAAATTAACATGCGTTGCTTGCACAAGTTGAGATCAATTTAAATGTTATTTCGAGAATACAGAAGCAATGCGGTTTTCACATTGAAAGGGTATGCAATATTCTATGATTTGTTATTTGTGAACAATTTACATAAGCCATAGTGCATCGTTCTTTGACTGCTACAAATACTGCTATCGGCATACACGAAGCTACTGCGCAGTATTCGTTTTGGTGCCTGTTGCTTTAACGTGCCTGCACAAGGTCCCTGAAATCACAGACTCGGTATCTGGTGTTCAGCTAAACTGACTGAGAAAAGTCCTTCAGTTGATCAATACACATCTCTGCGTGAAGTCATAACTGCCGTCACACACGGTGAAATTACACTAAACTGTCGGATGACATGGGTTTTCTCTGGCAATCCGGTGATTCATCTGCGGTTAAAATCTCGTATGACTCTCATACTCCTGTTCCCATTGGTACACATCTATCATGTTCGTGCATTGCCTCCCTCATCAATCAAAGACTAAAATTTCATCAGTGTTTCACTACAAAGGCAAAGAAACTGTTTTAGAAATTAGCAACAGCCTTTCCTACAGTATGTGCTGACATTCATGTGATCATCAGTTTCACCTTGAGTATTTCCACTGTCTTATCTGTGTTTTCAAAAGTCATTTGGAATATACAGTATGATAATATTAAAAAGAGTTTTATTTGACACTGACCGCCATAAGGCATTTCATGTGAGTTCCTGAATGTTAATGTGTAAGTTAGTTGTCTGTATTCCTCGTTCCTCATTCTTCAGGGAAGACAAATATCACACATCTATTTATTCTTATTTTCCATTTAGGATACTCTTCAGGATTTTGAGTACTACAGCTCTTAACCTATCATCTTCCGAGCAAAGCCAAAGACACAATAGCTGGTCCTCTTCATCTGGAGCAATGGACGAGGCCACTAAGCAGTACATTTTCAGTGGGGGAGAGGGGACTCTGAGCAAGGCCTGTGTGGATACCCCAGTGCTAAAGGATACCCCAAGTGACGAACCTGAAGGCATAAGTTTTTATAACATGGACCTCTACGAGTCCAGAGAAAGGCTGGACATCTTTGTAGAGGAAGTGCCTGTGAGCACGATGGCTGACAGCCAGTCTGTGCAGGAGCCCCTGGAGAGCCCACAGAGAACAGAAGAAGAAGAGTATGACCTGTACACTGCAGAGGTGACCGAGATGGCCAGGCAGTACGGGGTGTGGGACGACAAGGAGGAGGGGGACATGGGACTCCCTACCCAAGAGCCGTACGTCTTCATCACAGAAAAGCCACCGGCACCCACCAAGAGAGAGGTGGCAGAGTCCGGCAGCACTGATTTCAAAAGGCCGGATTCGCAAGAGGAAACGGGACGTTTTCGGACAGCTGACCAGCGTTTCTCAGTGGAGACAAACGACTCGTTGTGCTTCGACACCTGCGTTCCTGCGTCGGACGAAGCCAAGAGCCCACCACTCACATGGGCCGGTGCACAGCAGCAGTGGAAAGAGGAGGAGGCCGAGGAGGAAGGGACGCATCGCGGCGGTCCCGAGCAGTCAGCGGGAGCCAGACTGAGGGAGTGGAAGTGCTCTGAGGAGAGCCGAGAAGACAGGGCCGTGGAGGAGGAGCAGGTGTCGGCTGAGAGCAGTGAGAATGAGCCTCCTGATGTCTTCTGTACTGACTGCCAGACCCCCATCCGAGCTTTCTACAAGCTGTTCGGACCACACAAGGACCACCGAGTCATTCAGATAGCGAACGCTGCCGAGGAGGTGAAGGTGAGGGGCTCTTTCACAAAGGCCAGAGCTTCAGCTGGATCCCCAGGACACAGTATGAAGTCTCCAGGGGCTATCTGTTGCACACGTGAAGCACTGAAATGATTGAGACCCTGAAGACTGAAATGGGTGGAATATATTATAACAAAATTATTAATGTTGACTTTGAAGATTAAACAGTGCAATGGATGTCACTTTAAATTTAAATTTGGGAAAACTATACAAGTTTTTCCAGAAAAAAGTTACACATCCATATGTACTGAGTATCAAAACAGCATTTTCATTTATAAATGCAGCAAATGCACTAGATTCTTAATAAACAAACAACATTTTTTGTAGCAGATGGTTTGACATTTTGCTGTATGGACATGATATACAGTATGTGCTGTAGATTCAATAATCTTTGTCACCATCAGGGGTGATCAACAGTTTGTCTACTGCAAAAGTTACAGGGTAGTAGACTGGTACCATAATTGGAAGCAATGTGCATTTGTGATGAAAGCTTTGCACTAGGTTAAAGATTTCTGTCCCATTCCCCACATGGAGCCTGGACAAGCACAGGCTTGTCCATTGGTTTATGAGCGCTAAAACGCCACATTTCATCCCAACTCATCCCACAAATGGTCAAAGGGGCTCACGTCTGGCTTCTACGATGTAACTGTAACATTCTCTAATCACAAAAGGGCACTGTTACAGGGGCAGCATGAGGGGCAGGTGCTGTCCTGCTGGAATGTTGTCACTTCAGGGTGAACTCGCCGGAATGGAAGTGAGTGAGTCTCAGGTCTCAAGTCAATCAATGTGGCGCCGTGCAGCCAGATTAGCAGCAATCACTGCAAGAGAAGTTCTGCAGCAACTAGGCACACCAACCCAGAACATCACACCTGGGCCTCCTCTTTCCTTGGTCTGAGCACTGAACAGTTAGAGGATCATACTGCATGTCTGAGCCAGACTACCTGACGTCAGTCAGGGTGGCCAACATGAAATCTTGACTGATCTCTATAGAGGACTTTATTGGCAAGTACAACTGAAGTGGCTTCAACCAGCCTCCAGCCTACTGATGGCAAGACAGTGTGGTTCTCTTGACAAGCAAGTTGCGTTAATTCCGGTATTTCTTTGTCTTGATTTTCACTAGGTGTGGCATTCGATAGGTTGATCCAAAATCTATATATTTGGGTTTTCTAAAAATATACATGCATATACAGATGATCACTTTTTTTTACTGTATGAATATTTCTGTATGTGGAAACTTGTACACTTTAGTTAATGTAATATGTAGACTCAAACTGCACCGTGAACAATTTAGAAGAAAATGCCTTGTTATATATGCATATCGTGAAGCTCTCATACAATACATGAGATGTCTTTCCATTCTTTTTTTTAGGATGAAATCCATAAAACTATGTGCAAACTGGAAGAACAGATCGCACAAATGGAGAATTTTGCCAGCCATTTGGAGGAGATATTCATCACAGTTGAAGTAAGACAGCAAAGGTTGTTATTGGTTTCGAATATTATACTCTAAAGGCTGAGAAAACATGGAGCACATCACAGTCTGCAGTAAAAAGCCTTAGAAAGGAGTAACTTCATGCCAATAAGTGCAAAGACAGTGCTGTCCCATACACTTAGTGGCAAGAAGCTGGGAGTGGCATTTTCACAAGGCTGTTTGTACTTTAGTGTATCAATTAGCCGCAACTGACAGCCAATAACAGCTGCAGTAGAGATTCGAATTGGTCACATACTGTACAAGACCAACCATGTTTAAGAGAAAAGAACGACTAGACCTTTACGAGTAATTTTCTCCTGTAGGAAAACTTTGGGAGACAGGAACAGAACTTAGAGCAGCACTATAACGAGGTGATGCAGACTCTGACTCAGAGATATGAGGAGAGGACGTCTGGCCTGGAGGATGAGAAGAAGCAGAAGCTGGAGGCCTTGTACAGCCAGCTCATCCGATGTGGGAAAACTCTGGACGTTTCGAAGGAGCTGATAGAGGCGGCTCAGGAACTTCACAGAAATGAAGACAAACTAAGTTTCCTTCAGGTTTGTGTGCAGATGTAAAATGTACTGTACATTCTGTGCATGCTCGTTTTTATGAATTATAGTACTGTAACAGTTTTATAGTTAGGACACACAATTCCTTTCTGCAAAACTAAAAGATTTCTTCAAAAGACCCCAGTTAACAGACTGTGTGCTTTCAAAATGTGTGCACTTGCATTTACTGTATACAGTATATTAATTTATTTTTAAACTCTGATCCGTAAGATATTTAAGTAAAAGTTTGTACATTTTTGTCGACAGACTTTTGTGCCGACAGTTGACAGGTAATGTAAACAAATGTTTTTTCTGATGTACTGCGGTGTCTTATTAACATGCTTTTATGATGAAGACATGAGTCTGAACACTAATGAAGTCAACATTTTGTCGGTTTGAATTAAATGGATTGCAAAGTTTGATGAACTCCTATAGATCTTCAGAAAAACAAAAGGTTTTGCATTTCAATCTAATATAGTTGTATTAGTGTAAGTTAGACATCTTAGTATGACTTAATTAACATTAATGTGTTCTAACATTGTTTAACCAGTGTGCAACAAATGAAAGCATGCATTTTTATTTGCAGACATTGCGTCTCGCATGATTTGTGTCAGGTGTTCTGAGTGAAAACCATATTTAATTGTTCAAGAGACAATGTGCGTTAAATAATTCCCAAAGCAAACCAATGCAAAATTGTATTTCACAATGTGTAATTCCACTGATGCTACAATGCTACAAACTACAAAAAGTAGTTTCCATAAAATGAGTTTCCTGTTTGAAATCAGAGTTCAAGAGGAACTCTGGGGTCTTTAACTACAGGAGAAAGGAGATATTGAAGGAATTCTATCCTGGTGTCATGGCTTGGCTACAGAAGGTGTATAATTATATGTATAATGTATAATTATATGAGTACAGGATGTTTACACATTACTCCTTTATCTGTCTCTTTACAAGACTGGTTGAGACTGTTACCTTGAATTTTATAATAGCATTCTAATCTATGTAGCATCAGTACCTGGAATCTGTAGAATCTTTCTTATTCCTTCTGATATCTTCTTCTGTGAGCGATTAGAAATTTCATTAACTGGAACAAATGACTTTCTATGCTGCTGACTGCTTAAATTTTAATTTAAACCTGTGTAATTTGCTTTATCTTAAAATGAAATACACAGAATAGAAGAATTCATTAAATGTGATCCAGAACTCAAGCTGTCTGCATCCATGGACTTTCAGAATGCTGCTATAGATTTTTCTGATGTCAGACAGATGATGGATTCGATCAACATTGTTCCAGGTTTGGCTCTTTTCCATGAATTTACTAGACTTTACTGATGTATCACATGCCCCTGTGACAACAGTGCCAATTCTGTTTCCTGATTCATATGATCATATGTTTGTGTAATTTCTTTGGATAAACTCTAGCTGCTTCTGTAGAAGTATTTTCAAAGTTTTCCCCAATAAAAAATCTGTTAGCTAGGAGTCTTGTTGAACCAACTGATGTTGCACGTAGGCTGAGGACACAGTTACAGTATAATGCTCTTTGCTATGCTCTGAGTGCAGATTAGAAACATCACCCAAGTAGAGCAGTCCTGTGTGACAAGTCGTGGAGTAACAGAACCACTGTGTCTGTGTGAAAATGGTTGATTGTGTCATGAACTGAGCTCTCTCACCAAAAGAGGGCATATTATTCAACTGCATTAAACTCACAAATGCAAATTACATGAAACACTAATAGTGACAAAAAGATAAGAATGCCATGAACAGTGACAGCTGGATAAGGGATTAATTCTAGCCTTTTTTGTGGTTCTTTCTCTAAAAGTTAAATACCAAATGTTTAATTACAAGGATATGGATGACTCATAGAACTTTTAACAGCAGGTTAACATTTAAATTCACTTAATTCCTTCTTACTGTCCTTGTAATTGCTGGGATATGAAGCTGATGTTCCCTTTGATGTCACCAGGCAGTGTAAGATTCAGCTGGTGTTGAAACAATGATACACTGATCTATAAACTGATCCAAGATAAAACCTTAAGCTTTTTTTTAATTGGAGGCCGTATAAAAAAATGAGTCATGTTTGAAAACATCTGGACATAATCAGATGATATTCATTTGACCTATTAGAGCATTTTCAAGAACAATTAAGTGGGATAAGTATAGCCTGAGTTCTTTAGATTCAGGATTCTTTTCATTTCCAATGTAAATATCCCGGTATGAGGCTATTTCAGAAAAAAACTAACACTGTTAGAAGATCATATCACTTTTCTTATACAAAAAGTAAAAAATAACAATCGGAAACACTCCTTTCTTGGATAAATAAAAGGTGGTCTTTATATGAGGAGATATTAGCAGACACTGTTCTTAATGAATTTCATCTTTTGTCTGCATATTTAATTATGCTAACACAGTGCAGAACTACTGCAGCAGAATAGAAAAGATGGTCCAATTCATCTGTAGCTCAGCGTTCGTGTCACCAACTTTCAGAACCATAAAAACATAAAAACTTGTCAAAAGCAAGATGTAATTCCAGCCCACACAGAAATCTATACATTTTTGAATCATGTTTTTATTAAATGTTTTAATACAATGTCTCAAGTTTTCATTGTCATTGTGGGTATGTATTTTAAAAAAGGGTTAAGAAAACAGAAAACATATAGTGGGATAATCAATAATTAAGAATAAATAATTATAACCCAGGGCAGTACAGTGGCACAATGGTTAGCACTGCTTCTTCAGAGCACTGGGACCCTGGGTTCAATTCTGGACCTGGGGAACTTTTTGCATGAAGAGTGTACAGTATGTTTTCCCTGTGTTCATGTGAATTTCCTCCAGGTTCTCCTGTTACTTCCTACAGTCAAAAATACTGGTAGGTTAATTGGCTTTTGGGAAATTTGGTCCCTAGTGTGAGAGTGTGTGTTAGTGTCTGTGTGTACCCTGCAATGAACCAGCGTCCAGTCCAGGGTATATCCTTGCAGCGATAGGTTCCAGCTCCCCCACAACACCGTGTTGGATAAAGAAGTAAGAAAATAGACAATGGATGGATTATAACCCCTAATTGTTAAAGATATCCCAAGAATATACCCGAGAGGTAAATCGGAGGCAAACATCTATTAAAAATGACAATAACACAAACTAAGCATGCAAAAACAAGTAGTCTATATACAAAACAAGGCATCTTAGATGCCTGCATCCTGACATCACTGTAATCCCCCACTGCTAACCCAGTTGTAAGAAATGCTGTATAATGCCTAAACTAGCTAACAAGATAAACCCTAGTCCTTAAGCAGAATACGACTCAGGGCAAAATCAAACCCTGCCTATTAATCTGAATCCTCCGAAGTGAATGGCAATCTATCTCCCTATTGTAATAATGTATCCCTTACCTGGAGAAAAAACGTCTTTAGCCTAGGGATTCCTCGTAAAGGAGATCAGAGTTTCCTGAAATAACAGAACGGCAAGCTTGGCACGCTCCTCCTTTCTCTCTCTTTTCCTCTGTTCCCTTCCCTTTTCCATTCTTCTTCTCTATCCCTGGTGGTCTCTCCTGTCTTTCTGGGTGTTGAGGATTTACTCATTATGATTTACTGGAGTAATTCCCCAGAAGTTACTTTTCTTTTGTTATTTGTGAGGAGATTGAAATGCTTCCTCCCTACTCTTGCTTTAAAACAGCAACCGATCCCTCTTTTGAATGGTGTTTTCGAATGAAGTTTTCTGTCCTGTTTCAGCCCCCTCTGCACCAGTCATCAACCCCCAGGCCCCAAACTCTGCCACCAGCACCTCGGTGAGGGTGTGCTGGAGCCTGTTCTCGGACGACACTGTGGAATACTACGAGCTCTACTACACACCTGTCCTGGAGGACTCCACTGTGGGAGAGAGCAAGGAACATGAGGGTAACTCCACTGACTCCCTCATACTGCCCAATCATCTCACCTCCTGTCAGGCCTGGTGCACCACTAGCACTGGAGACAACAGCCTAAGTCCTTATATAGGTTGTACTAAGAGTGGTTTTGCAACAGCTGTGTTGTGCTTCAGATCTCGGAACTATGAGAACCCACCACATTATGATAAAAGTTTCTAAATCATAATTACTCAGTTACCCCCCTGGTATTGAATCGCCATGGTACATTCCAGGAGTGTACTACAAAAACACGTTGACACTTTCGAAACCACTGCAAAACTAGAGCAAAAATGGTAGTAAAAGTCTAACATTCCTCCCCTACATTTACGGATGAGAAGAGTTTCCACAAAGCTGCAAAGGTATTCTGTAATATTCAAAATTGGCATTAATGAACAATTATTAATAATTTAAAAAAGAGAATAATTATTTTTTATGTTGTTTATATTATTAATAATGCTCATCCAACAAACATTTATAATATTCAGAATAACGACTCATACTAGTGGGAGAACTGCACCCTTGCAGACTCTGGATTTGATTCAAGAAGCGTCAAGAAGAATTAAAATCCCTGTTATTTTTCAACTGCGCTGTACTTCCAAACAGGCCTGTTTTGCAACAAACAGGCTCTGTGCAGAGCTGGAAACAACAAGCGGAGATTTCTCATTGAGTGCACCTGTGTGCCTGGCATTTTCTTTCACTCGGCAATTAAACCCTGCGGCCTCCAGTCTCAAGGAGGCCTGGAAATGTTCGGAATTTGGGCCAAAAACTGTTTACATCCAATGGTCTGAATTGGCTAGAAGTGAACACAGGCTTCAGGATGGAGAGGTGCAGTCAGTGCCCATGGTGAGGACAGCTAATTAACTCCACTGTGTCTATCAAGAGCAGCGACTGCGTGGTTCTCAGCAAATTTGGCAACAAAACGTAAAGAGCTGATTTTTGGTACCAACCACATCCGTTGTAAATGAACCTGAGGCCAGATCCACACCACTTAGCACCCATGTGTACAATGGTGACTGTGAGAGGAAAGATTAGAGGCAGGCACATTCCCCAGGAGGGATCAAACAAATGAAAAAAAATCTTTTCCACAAGTGTCTCTGCTGACATATCATGGTATAACTGTCTGGTAACTGTCTCATTTTTCTATTTTATGCACAGCTTCTATGATAAAGGTGAAGGAAACATACTGCACTGTGACTGATTTAGTGCCAAATACACAGTATGAGTTCTGGGTGACAGCTCTGAACACCACTGGCATCAGCCCAGCCAGTGAAAGAGCTGTGTACGTGACAGGTGAGTCTTCTACAACTAAAATGGTGTGCCGCGATTTTAACATAAGAATGATAACAAACAAGAAGAGGCCATTAGCTCATTGGGAGTTAGTAGTTAATTGATCCAAGGATCTCATCCAGCCATTTCCTGAAAAAAAGCCAGGGAATCGGCTTCAGCAAAATGGCTGGGTAGCTTGTTCCACACTCCCACCACCCTTTGGGTAAAGAAATCCCACCTGTTCTTGGTTTAAAATGCACTCCCACATATATGCACTTGTGTCACATTTGTGTTTTCTATGTAACGTGTAACAATAGTGGACTGGAAGTCCAAAGGAATGTAAAATACTGCAGAAAAAGATTAGTTCTTTAAGCGGCCCAAGTTTGGTTTTTTTAGCACCGCACAATTATAAAATCCAGCAGAATATCTCTAGTATGGTAAAACGCTGACCTTCTGGTTTTTCCACAGCAACAGAATTGTCCTTGTGTCCAAGTCCAAAACTAGTTGCTTTCCCTTAATCTTCAATAATAAAGTCAGACCACATTACATGTGGCTCTTAATGGACGACCCTCTGCTCCAACCTTCTGTCTGTGCATTTTGCAGTCCCGTCACCCCCCTTCATCAGACACAAAGAAAGCAGGAGCTGTCCCACGGCGGCTCTGATCCGCTGGGAGTCAGGCAACACCAACCCTGTGGATTCCTACACTGTGGAGCTCTGTGAGATAAGCAGGGAGAGAACTAACAGCGCTGTCACTGAGTACGTACTGTTGAACAAGCACTCTATTGACTATTGTGATAGTCAGGATTGCCTGACTGTCAAGTATTTGTTAACATTCTAATACTGCAGAAGCTTTGTGATGCATTTTTCTCACTCAAGACAGGAAGGGGAGGGGGGAGGCACTGTGCCATGGAGGTCAGAGCTGCTGCCACAGGTCCTGAGTCAGATGGCCCCGAGTTTTCCTGCTTTCCATGTGGAGTTTGAATGGTCTCCACAATATGAATGGGGTTTTCATAGGTGTTCTGGCTTCAGACATGCTGCATAGATTAAATGTATGTACTCTCTGTGACGGACTGGTGCCCTGTGTTTTTGGTTGCTAGACCTAGAAACCACAAAAAAGTGACTTACTGACCTTCAAATAACAAATGAAAACACAATCTACATTTTAATCATACAACACATAAATAGCACTTGGTTTGTGAACTCTGAAAGTAGAGAAATATCAGTAGCATTATTAACATTGAAGCCTTTTCTAATCACAGGAGATCTGAGGTTGTTTTGTATGATCTAAATCAAATGAAGTCCAGGGATTAGCCACATGATATTACACCCTGCTAAAACAGAAAAAAAGCATTTCAAACTACAATGATTTACTTAGTAATGCAATTACTTAGGGAATGACTTGATCAGGATAGTTTTAGTTTGAGTACACCCCTCATGAAATGCAAACCGGGTTTTCAAAGCAGCACGCAGAGGTCATTTTAATGCGAGCTTTACTGGGGAGCTGAGAAGGGAAGGAAGGTTGCCATGGCCCTGCCCCAAGATCCTAGCTGGCATATCAGATGGCACCATGGCCTAGAAATGCTATTTTTAGGAGCTATCCTACCATGTCATTTTAGTTTCGCAGGGTGACACACCTGAATTTGCTCATTACATCTGTATGGGATTTATTTCATTTGATTCCAGATCCATCGTGGGCATTCCTACCTGTGAATCTCTGATCCAGCTAGAGTCTGGAAAGCGCTATCTCATTTACGTCCGGGCAGTGAATATAGGTGGTCTCAGTGAAAGAAGTGACTCTATCATAATCCAGACAACAGGTGAGGATTTCCCTTCAACACATGCTCATGTGCTGTGCGTCTCACTGTTATTAAGGCTTGGATGTGTGACAGCTGGCTAGCATAGGGCCACAGGTTGATTTGCGTTCGACACCCCCGGAGTTGATTTTAGTTGCCCACAACAAAAACACACTCTGGAGTGCATTATTCAGTGCAGTGGTTGGCCTTGCTGCCTTTGTGTGCTGGGATTCTCCCTGTGCTTGCATAGGTTTCCTGCCTCAGTCCAAAGACTTATAATAATAATAATTAATAATTGCTTACACTTATATAGCGCTTTTCTGGACACTCCACTCAAAGCACTTTACAGGTAATGGGGACTCCCCTCCACCACCAATGTGCAGCCCCACCTGGATGATGCAATGGCAGCCATAGTGCGCCAGAACGCTCACGACACATCAGCTATCAGTGGGGAGGAGAGTAATGAAGCCAATTCATAGATGGGGATTATTAGGAGAGGACCAATGGGACATTTGGCCAGGACGCCGGGGTTACACCCCTACTCTTTCCGAGAAACGACCTGGGATTTTTAATGACCATAGAGATTTAGGACCTCGGTATTACATCTCATCCGAAGGACGGCGCCTGTTTACAGTGTAGTATCCCCATCACTATACTGGGGCATTAGGACCCACATGGGCCACAGGGTGAGCACCCCCTGCTGGCCCCACTAACACCTCTTCCAACAGCAACCTTAGTTTTTCTCAGGAGGTCTCCCTTCTAGGTACTGACCAGGCTCACACCTGCTTAGCTTCAGTGGGTTGCCAGTTGTGAGTTGCAGGGTGATATGGCTACTGGTAGGGTAATGGTCTTCTGGGAAAACAGGCCCTGGTGTGAGTGTGTGTATGTCTAAGAATGCCTTGCAAAAGGACTCGTATCCCATCCATCCCATCCAGGGTGTGTACCACCTTGCACCCGTTGCTTACTGGGATAGGCTCTGACTCTGATAGGTTCAGATTCCTGAACTGGATGAAGCAGTTAGAAAATGAAAACACCTGAAAAATATCCACAAAAAGCAGTTCCTGTCATTCCTCTGGGGGCATGCTGTACAACAATTCATGTGCCAGAGTATAGAACATCCCCTCTTGCCACTGTGTAATACAAATCTGATAAGGAATATTATTTTTCCTTGTTCTTGAATATCTCCTTGCAATCTCTCTTGTACTGCACTATCACTGAAATCATGTTTTACCTCCAGAACACAGAATCTTCTACAAGAAAAAAAAAATATCCGCAATGGATGAATGATTTCTAGCGTACATTCTCCTTGCAAGCCCAAACCATAACTCCCCGCATTCACAACACCGGGATTTTAACTAATTTGTCCAAAAATAGCCTAACAGACTTCCTTTCTGTGCCTGAGCAGGTACCTACTTTCACCTCAATGAGGAAACAGCTCATCCCTGCCTGTCTATTTCTGAGGATGGATTCACCATGTTCTATGGTGACGAAGAGCTGGAAGTAAGCGATATGACCTTCAGTGACAACACCTTTGCCAGGTAGGTGAAGTGTAATTATAATAATAATTATAATAATGAAGCCTGTGAGAGATCTGGCCAAAATCTGGTCAGTACAAATTTAAAAGTTCAACAGTAAGAGCAGCCGGCGAAATGGTAACCTTAATGCAAAGCGATGCAGAGACAGAACAATTTGGAACTTACAATATGTAAGCTTTGTCAGGATTCCTAAACTGGAGAAGCAAGAGACAGAAGACTTCACTGCAATGTAGAATAATAATAATGCATAGTTTACAGATGTTTCCATGTGGAGTTTGAATGGTCTACCTTGTACATGAACATCGTTTGGCTTCTCAATTGCCGTGTCCTCAGGTGTGTGGCAATCTTGGGAGAATTGATCCCAGTCAGAGGAAAGCACTACTGGGAAGTGGAAGTGGAAGAGAACACAGAGTACCGAATTGGTGTGGCTTACCAGGACACTCAGAGGAACGGATACCTGGGAGGAAACAACACATCTTGGTGCATGAGACATGTGATAACCCCCTCCAGGTGAGACCGTAACAGTGCAGGTAGTGTTCAAATTACCATTCAGCTGCTCAAGACACTGCACATTTGATATATGTGGAATGAAAAACAAAAGATACCATTGTAAGGCAAAATATGGTATCTAGGAGACAGAGTTCTGGAAGTACTGCTTGTGTGCATTCTGATAATTCTGCACTTAATTACATGCAGAAGCCTCTCACACACAGAAAGGGGTTTTGTTTAAAATACCCATAGAATCACTGTATAGCTGTTGCCGTAGCAACTCTATTTTCAGCACAATAGAAAAACGTCACTTAAGCAGATCATTTGCCGGGGCTCATCACAAACAACCAGAGCAATAATATTCAAATGTTCCCAGCAGCGGAAAAATGGTTACTACCTGAAGTCAATCCTACAATTTCTTCACAACACCCACTTGTCCTCACACATCAAGAGAATATTAATATCTTGGATTTTACATTTGACTTTTTCAGACACAAATACGAATTTCTGCACAACGGATGGACTCCTGACATACGCGTAACAACTCACCCGAAGAGGATAGGAGTGGCACTAGACTACGAAACCGGAAAACTCTCCTTCTTCAACACTGATCAGTCTCAGCACCTTTACACGTACGAGTGTCAGTTCCTGCACTTTGTACACCCTTGTTTTGCTTTAGATAACCCAGGAGCACTCACTGTTCACAATGGCATTGAGGCACCCGCATATGTCAAATTCTCCTGAGTGCTCCTGCTGCACTAGTGTTTATCTTTTTAATCTCGACTGCATATGTATTTTATTTCAATGAGTTAGCGTCCATAAATAGACTACACATAGGGCAGCTGCTGATTTGGTTACACTAAACCCCAACTCTGCAGCCCCTGAAATGTGCATTTACTTCCTGTAGTTTACCAATTAACCTCACTAGTTGCATATTAGTGCCGTTATTGAAGGAGCCATTCTGACTATCCTTTTCACCAAACAGGTAGATCATAAGAATCAGAACAATTTTCTTAATTATGATTACCATAGTGATAAATATCCTACAATTCAAGAAATGACTGTTTTACTATATCAGGACCTAGTAAAGAGACTGACTGCTAAATGTGTTTTGAAGAGCAATATTGTAAGACACCCAGAAAGCAGATTACTAATAATGCAATTTTGTACCCAAATAAATGTCTCCTCATCCATGCAGTTTGTAGCATTACTTTTTTTTACAAAGAAAGCAGAAAAGACCTTTTGCTGTAGTTTGTCATCCATGTTCATTATAAGAAGTCCAAACAAGGCAACATCGTTCAAAATACTTTATTACAGTATTCCATGGGAACAGATGAACACTCATTTTTCACATATGAAAATCTGCAGGAAGTACAATGTAAAAGTGACAATTCGACCATTTGTATTAAAGGTGGGCAATACAGTGCAATTCTTACATAGTGTTTCCCTACACTACCCATCTTCTGATTTTCATTCAAACTGAGCCCTGATTTATTCACAACTCACTTCATCTCTTCATTTAACCAACTGCTTTTAAACTTTCTACACTCACTCAATTTTATTTCCAAAACTTTTACATGCATTTCCAACAATTGTTTTACATATGCAAATAAACTTTTAAAGACTTAAATGAAATTGAACTACAGTTTCAAAGTGTTGGTCTCCCAGTTCCCTATAGGTATTTATTAAATGTATAGAAATAGGTGGGAATGACTGTCAAATAACTCCCATAATAAGCACCATTGGTGATGTGCAGACTCATGTATTTCAACCTTAAACAGTCCTAAATGAAATGAGTTATGAAAGCCTGCACAGGGTTCATGCTGATTTCTGAACAGATGACACTCAGTCCCAGTCCTAGGGCACCACAACATATTGCAAGATACATGTTGTTCTTAAGTAGGACCAAACTGTGTGACTCATGCAAAACACCTTTAACGGTTTCCCGAGTAATATTAAAACAGCTCAGGACTTGTAAAAATAGCTGTGAAACAACTCAGCAGCTGAGGAATTTGTCCCAAAGAATTTAGAACCTGATCAACACTTCCAGAGCCTGCTTAATTTTACTCATGTTGTAGCCAGTGGAAAACAGGTTGCACACATTTTGTCCCATCAGCACAGGGCATCTTGACAATATTCTTCGATAAGAGTGTGTATTCATTAGCTTTATTCTGAACTTGCATTCAGAAGGCGCAGTGTTTTACTGAAATAAGATCCAATGAAATTGTTAACTGCAATTTCAAAAGAAGGTATGTGGTTGTTAAATACCACAATTGCAAAACACTTTCAATAAGTAGAGACCTGGAAATATAACATGAGTGATTCAAATAAAACTAAAGTTCAGGGCAGACTGCAAATCAGAAACCTCAGCTGCTCTCCAGGACCAGGAGTGAATATCAGCATTCAAAACTAAATTGTTCTAATCTCTTAAAATAGAAGTGTTTGAAAATTAAAGGTTTAAGAGGCTCAACTAAGACCGAGCACGGGAAGATTGAAAACCAGAAAAACAGGTGTACTTCAGGACCAGTAAGACTAGCATACATGTTGGAAATGTTCCTTGGTGATGGAGGGGAATAAATGGCTACCATTGCTACAAGTGAGGCCTTTATTTACATCACAAAAACATACCCCAGAGCTGCTGTGTAATAGCTAAGCAGACCTCAACAGTATCAAGACCCTGAACATGTTTACTGGAAAGATGTCTTACTGCCACGGGTCCGGTCATCCTCTTCATCAGAGGAATCGCCTCCATAGGGAACTAACCCCAATGTTCCCTCACTCGTTTTTGACTTCTTGGTTAAAGTACCCACATCACCTGTGAAGGCAAAAAAAGAAAGACAAAGAAAGGGGAAAGACCACACGGAAGCCCCATTTAAGTCGTAGAAATTGTTCAATCCACAGCCAGGGAAAGGTCATTCATGGAAAATGAAATGGCACCAAACATCCATAACAGCCACGTCCAGAGGAACATGTGAAGAGAAGACAAGGGGGAAGAAAAAGAACATATACAAAAACAAAAAGTTAGTTCATTTGCCAGGAATGGGTTTTAGCAGGTCTCCAACAATCTGGAAAGAAAAAGGCTGTGATATTTAGTGCTACATATTGAATGTTTATGATCGACAGCATAGCTGTACAGAAAGTGTGATGTCTGGCTCTTGCGCTGTGAACAGCAATGCATACCCGTGGCAGCCTGTTGTGCACCACAGCGGCCATCCTCTGCCCTTCGCCTCTTCCGCACAGCTCCGATTGGAGGAGGAGGGGGGGGTGGGGGCATCAGGATCCTGCCAGATAGAAGTAAATTAAGATGGATTTGATCACCATAAACTATACCAATTGCCATTTGAGGACTGGTCTCCTTTGAATGGCCTCTTATCATAAGGTTTTAGACAACTTACTAGAATTCTTTAAACAAGCAACAATGACAGCTCTAGAACAAGCTGCAGAAATCCAAGGATAATGTACACACACAGATTGAAAATGGGTTATCAAACATGAAATACTGACCCCTAACCAGGGTTCAATCACAAATAGTCTGGTAAAGAAACAATGTAAAAAATATAGGTAGCAACATAAAATGGGAACACCTGGGCAAATATGACCAGGTTTACTGAAAGTAAGGGCCTCCACAGAGGTGTGATCATGTTTAGAAACACGAAAGATCACACAGATGATTTTGGCCTGCAGGCAGCCATTAACCAAAGGGATCTGGGTGAATATAGATTCTTCAATGTCCTTCTCAAAATAAAAGGAAAATGTGGAGAATCAATAAAGAACAATCTTAAAAACCCAGACAGGGTCAATGCAAAGGACTTCAGATTTAGAAACTAAACAGGAATTCATTTAGGATGGAGAATAGGAAATACTTCCTTAACCATACCTTTTGGTGCTTCTTACCTACCACATGTTTGAGGCCCCTACTCAAGTTATTAAAATCTACCAAACATGCAAGACAGGCTGAATACCAACATCTCATTTTAAAGTGTGAAAGCCCTGGACAGAATGGGTTACAAGAGCACACCGATGGTTATTCAGACAGGAAAGGGCGGCAGTATTCAGACTAATCAAAATGAAATTTAAACTGGACGGGAAAAGGGGTTGAAAATTTAAGGTCAACCTTTCTAATTCTTTTCCATCATTGTTCTTGGTCGCCAGTGAAGTAGCCATTTCAGTTTTAGAAACAGTGAGGCCAGCTCCGGAACATGGATCTGTCTTGCCATGCTGAAAAGAGAAAAAAAAAATGGTTTTCCAAAAATACCAAGGAACAAAAATAAAATCTGTAAAAAAAGGCAGGTAAATGCATATTCAACCTGATACTCCAAATTGTTTTCCTCTGCAGAAGATCTCTTTGCACTTCGGTTATGGGGAGGACTGGATGTGGCCTTATCAATTGTTGCAACGTTACTGGTCCCAGTGTCCTTGACCAAAACAGATTACAATACACTGATGAGCTCAGATCTCATACTGAACTATTAGAGTAGAAACATAAGTCAATTACAGCATTGTACAAGGTTTGAAATAAAAGGCAGAAAAACTGTTCAACAGAACTAGCAAGACAGCTTTGGCATTTCTTTTTATTCTCATACTTAAGCAAAAAGGTTTACATGTTGGTATAATAGGTACAATATGTCCATAAGCAGATGATGCAAATGGATGGAGTGAAACAGCTACAAGGGACTTACAAAATCAAGAAGGGCTGATACTTGTCAAATGAAATTAAAGGCAAACAAGTGCAAAATGTTTCAACAGCCCAGGTACTACAGATCTTATCTACTCAAAAGAAGTAGACCTCCACTGTGTACATGTAGCAAAAGAACTCCTGCACTGACAGGCCAATCCTGCCTGAACAATATGCCAACAAAACAGCTGCTGAATGAATACATCTGTTCCTGTCCGACTCCTTGTGTTCTGTATAGGACCCAGATGTTTTCCTGATCAAGTGCTCACCAGCTTGGGAAGTGTACAAATTAACTATAAAAGATGCATAGAAACCTTTGCCTAAACCCTAGAGAAACACCTTCTATATTAAGTTGGTTTTAAAAAAATGTTCCATGAGGAAGAGTCATCTGGTTGCTGCTCTAGCCAAGTCCTTACACGGTCAAACTGATTTCAGTTTTCAACATAGGGCATATTTGCAAGTGTGCTTTAAGCTTATAAATACTATCTGACCTTTCAAGTAGTATCAACCCTATCTTAATTTCTGAGCTTAAGATCTGCCCTCATTCTAGTTTTTCCTGGAATGTAAATCAACTGTAGAAGAAAAAAAACTGTGGGAGTTGTCTAACAGTGCCACACACATACGGCTGTCCAATCAACTACACTGAACTAAGCTCTTTAGATGGGGAATAATGGCAAGCAGGCATGGAGAGGCTGAAACACCACACCCTTGAAGCATGATATTTTTAAACACTCTCAACCAAATAATTGATCTTGTTTAGATGTAAGTAATTAGCACTGGAGATTTATTGTTCAGATGGCATGAAAAATAAACAGTGGCCCTCCAGGATCAGGCTAGGGAAGCACCGTTTACCCCGATACTTCAAGACAGCTGTAAAAACCAATTCAGAAGTAGTTGAAGGATCCCATTTACCACTAACCTTCAGTGTCCCTGGGGTAAGGCACTATTTCTAACAAAGCATTACTCAGAGGAAACTCATTCTAGTTATCAGAATTCCATCATCCTGGTTCATCCAAGGTGTCCTCCAGGCTGCTATAACCCTTAGCCAACAATTCCTGGTTTGTGTCAATACATGACTGGAATTTGAGCTATACAAGAAAAAAACCTACCTGCTCTAAATAAGGTGGTGGCATTCTGGGACACACTGGATACTGAACCATTGCCTGAGAAGATTGAGGGGTTGTTGAAATGTTAGAATAACTGTGATGACCATTTGAACTACTCCAATAACCACTGGATCCGGGATATGGAGAATAGCCGCCCGAGTAACCATTTGTTGGGTAGTTATACCAGGAAACCTGGCTACAGTGATTGCTATTAGGTGGGTAGCCATGGGAAGGTGGGTATGCTGAAATAAAAGTATAGAAATGTACTGTTAATACCACAAACAGTTTTAACCCCTTCACTGTATCCAGTTACGATACTGGACAAGATTTGACTATGTGGTGATGTAAGAAAAAAACAAGTAGTACATCTCATGATTAAAAGAAAAACAATGAGCTCCCTTTTCACCACAATCTTCTCAATCTCCAATTCACACAACAAGCAAACATTTACCTTGAGGAACCCCAGGTGCTGTGTAAACAGACATCATGCGGGAGTGCTCCACGCGAACCTATAAGAAAGGAGACAGGAAGTCTTACATAAAATACAAGGATACCTTACAAACCCAATGATTCACTGCAGAAAGATAGTAGGAATAAAGCCAAGCCAAAAACTGGTTGCATAGGAGCAGAATTTTGATGTCAAGAACATTACAGGTATCAAGACAAGAAGGCAGCTTTCAAACACTGCATCCAACAATGGAGGTGCGTGTTAAGGAACATTTTACAAGTCAACTATCCCCAAAGGGCAGGTTGAAAAATCAGATGTCAGCAGGTGCAGTATACTGTAACCTTTTACTGGAGGCCAAGCTGTTCACACTACTGTGTTTCTCTAGGAGGTGAGTATCAGTGAGAGCTATACACTTTACCAGCTTCACTTTCTTAAAAACCTCCGTGTTGCAGTACTGAGGTGGAGAAAGCCATTTACTCCTGAGGAATACACTGTGCAGGAAAAAAATCCTTACCGTTTCTAACAGATTCTCACAGAGTTTCTTTGCTGCTTCCAAGCTGACTGAATTTGGGTGGCTATAAAGAGAAAAGGTGCAATTCATCTATCAGGAAGTCAATTACATGTAGACCTAAGTGCTTTTAAAGAAACCGATACCAACTCTTCTCATCAGGCTTACCTGTTAAATAAACTTTCAAAGGCTTTTAACTTTACCGTCATTACTTTCTCCCCCCCACCCCAATACCTTTAAACCCATCTGCAACAAAATCATTTTGGATGCTTTAACACAGTGGGTAATACAAGAAAACAATACCTGATGTAGAGATACAAAGGTTCAAAGGATTCTCGCCGAGAGGCCTGCTCAATATAACCAGACCCCTTTCCTCTTAGGAAGACACGAGCACCAGTCTCATTCTGGATATGCTGCAAGTATGATCCCCCAGGACCCTCTACTTTCTCTTTCACATTGAAAGAAGGCAGTGTCTGATCCAAGCCTACAAATAACTTGGTGTGGACAAAATTCTGTAAAACACAAATCCATAAGAATGCCTCATTAACATTTTGTGTTGTTTCCAACAAAGGAGTAAATCCTTATGAATACCTTAAATGACAGCTCATACACTTTCCACATTTTGAAAGTCCCAACAGCTATCTACTAGCAAGTCTCCAAGCAGACTCAACTTGCACTGATGTAAGCCTGAATGTCAGCAGGAGCAGTGCACTCCAGCCTCTCCCTGGAAGATAAAGTTGTTCTCACTGCTTGTTTTCTCTAGGAGGCGTGTATCAGCGAGAGCCACATTCTTCACTGGCTTCACTTTCTTAAGCCTCCACGCATTAGGGAATTAGTGATAGACACCATCAAACAAAGCAATTTGTTCAAAAAGTCAAAAAGACTACTTGAAAAAAAAGGAAAGCAATAGGTTTTCAAGTTTCAATATGCTCCAAGTTCAGCCTGGACTTGAAAAATGCAGAAAAGAGGAAATTCAAAGAAGCTCACAACTACACAAAATAGTCTGCTACACTAACCTCACTTTCTCTACTTTTTAATTCCTGTACATTGTTCATAATTTACTAAATATCAAACTGTCTCGACTTCTTGGTCAATAGGGCCTCTTACCAAACAGAAAAACAGACAAAGAAACACGACGCTTACTCCTGAATGAACTTGGTTTGGTGGCACAGAAGACCTGCGATTCTGATTGATGGGTGGTCTTTGCTGCAGGGCAGGAGGCGCAACAGGAGGCCGGGGTGCCTGAAGGCTGGGAGTATAGACAGGAATAGCAGAGGGTGGCTGTCCAGACGCAGCCCTCAAAACCTCCTCTGAAATGATCTCCTTGATGCGCATCATAGCCTCTGCAAGCACAAAACCACAATCCAATGTAACCAGTCACTGCCAACAAATCAGACAAAAAAATAGCAAGCAAACTGGACAATAACTGGAAGTTATAGCTTACTGTTGACTTCCTCCTGGGTCTTTCCTTGAACATGTAAATATAACGGCCGGTTCCTAAATGGGTTGGAAAAAAATAATCAATAAGACAACCTGAACAGACACATTTGACATGACATGTCTAATTATAGAACGAGCTGTACATACACTCCTTTAGCTTGTGCTTTTGCAGCTGCAGTCATGTAGGAACCCTTTGTTGATATCGTTGCTCCGCTAAACTGGCGAATCTACAATTGCAAGAGAAAAGTGTGGTAGGATATGTCAAGTTAAAAAGGGTAAGTTGGCAAAGAAAATTCCTGATCCTTTACTGATAATTGGAAACATGCTTACTTCTTCCTGAGTTTGTCCTTTTGTGAGTAAGTTCCTGCAGTGTAGAGGAACGTCATTAATGTCCACCTCTGTAACCACCAAGTCACTATTTTGAGACGAAACAGCGACAGTGGGTGCAGGCTGGAAAAGCAAAAATGCAAAGTCAAAAAGGAACATCGGACCTTTCTCTAGAGCTGTATGCCTGACACCCTTAAAGCCATCACTCACACACAGGCACTTTTAACCTTTTAGTCCTACAATAAAAAAACTTGATAATACAAGAAATCTGTTAAAACACAAAATAAACTGAATTTTTTACTCATGCGATTTGACAATCCCCATCACAACTTACAGTTACAGCAAACAATTAAAAACAAGGGACAGAGAAGTTAACGGGGTTGCTAGGAACCAGAACATTCAACAAACAACTACTACTACAATGACATTTCTTTTAATGTATCATTTTAGCTACAGTCGCGATGTCACTGATCAGGTGGAGACAATACACTTGTACAACAAGTTATCAGATTACCCTCTCTGGCGGGGGCTGGGCTGTCTTCAGTTTCCCCTTTGCCATCAGCATGGCGTTGAGTTTTGCAGCCATAGCAGCGGCGAGCTCCACTGCGCCCCCTGGAGGAGGGCGGTGTTCCGACAAAGTCGTGGAAAGAGCTGGAAGACTGGTGACGTGGGAGGACGGGGTCGCGTTGTTGGAGCTCATGGCGACCGCTGGACCTCTGCTACCAGGCGGGGACGTGCCGGCGCCCAGATCCCCCGCGTAACCCGGAAAGGCGCCCAATGTCGTTGAAAGGGAACGAGTTAGATTCCCCGTTAAGCTGTGCAGCATGGCGGCAGTCGGTGTAGTCTGACCCCATCTAATACCGAGACACCTACAAACAGAAGATGTTTGTAATTTCAAGCCACGTGGGAAAATCAATCACAATACAGTTCACAATCGGGTTTCAGCGTTAACATGTTAAGAGATTTTGTATGCAGAGCAAGTAGATCGCAAAAACAAAAACTTAAGTTGACGACCTGTTCTCAAACTGCATTTTTAATATAGGAGGGGAGTATCAGCCGGATCCAGTGGCGACATAGGAAACCGCTTTCTTATCCCTCCAGGTAGAAGACAAAACTTGCATTTCCTTTGAAACAGTACGACGTTTTTATAAGCAAACGGGCTGAAATGCCTTGTAGGAAACGTGTACTATTATAAAACGCTAGGGAGGCAGCGCCCGGTTTAATGCAACAGTCCGCATTCTGGCGAAATAGTGATTTCTAAAATTAAATAACGCATCCCGCGAAAACGTGATTAATACCGATACCATGTTCTGGAAATAAAAGACGAAATATGCTCCATAGACTTCGGCTTTGTGCATCTGTACCTCCAGACAAATTACATTTTATAAGTAACCCAAAACAAGTATTTCAATGACTTAAACAAAAGTCCACACACGGATTCAGCCTGGCCGGTTTCTGGAAACATCGACAGACAAGGCCCAACTCCATCACCTCAATATTATCAACAATAAGCGCATTGGACCTGAAACCTGTGGACTTACGAGTTCTGCTGGGCCAACCCAGAAGCCATCTTACGGAAAGATAATGGTCCTCGTGTATCCCAACCAATATTCCCTAACCGCCGTAATAAAATATTTTAGAAGAGCCAAAAACTAACACAACCCACACCACCGCCTACCGAAGATATAGCACCCAGGGACGGAAATACGTATTGTGTTACGTAATAAAGAGGTGACAAGCCACATAGGCGCGCCCCCTGTAGTTTGGTTCCGGTGTTGCTGAGTAGCTCCGAAGTGAAAGGAATGTGGATTGGCTGCGAATGACTTTAATAAACATCAGTATTTCCGAGAAAACCAGGATTTTAGTCTTTATTTTTCAATATTAAAAACTGTTATCGCACCCATTGTGACGTACCTGAATTGCAGTGTTTCTAAGCAGAAAAGGTGACCCTTTGATTCACTGTATTGTATCCTACAGTCACAAAGCCCCTGATGAAGAAAAACGTGAGAACAAACTCCTGGGTTTGTAATTTGCGATTAGCAGGTGTGTCAAAACTTTGATACGATCCCGTCCAGACTCCCTGGCCTACAGCTGTTTTCTTTCTCTGATTTATAAAGTCAATGAAGTGTCCCCAGTTTAAAGCTATTGTTATTTCTGAGAAATTCATGACAGTAAAAGACTCAAAAGTTATGTCTTTTCTAATGTCTTTGACAAATGCTCTTTATGACAAAACATTGCCGACAAATGCATCAATAAAGCATTTTAAAGTGGCATGACATAATTGTATTTCTTTGACGTGTATTTTTATTACAGCAACAAAATGCATAATGCATAATGCATAATACACATCTTAAACTAATGTTACAGAACAGGTAAGTTGCTGGTACAGTGTTCTAGCTCAGAGTAATTTATGAAAACATACACAATTTTCAAATCTCTTCCCTTGTCCCTCACAAAAAGAATAAAACTGAAGGAAAGGGAGACAAACACAAGAACTAAACAAAGGCAAAATACTAATTACACTAAACAGTCGCTAGGAAGCAAAGAAAGGAGGAAGGCCAGTCCTCTCAGGTTTCATCTGAATAGCCAGCTTGTAGCAAACGGAGGTCTGGGGTGGAGACGGGAGGCTGTCTCGGAGTACTTCAGAAATACCTGTCAAGCTTTATAATCGTATTTTTTAAAATAACTTAACATGCATTATATTTTATTCCTAAAGGTAGCTGAGGCATCATATTTTAAAAACTAACAGTGATTAAAGCCAGATCTTAAGGATACACTGTGTACCATTTACAGGGAAAGCAAACAGAACCTTGGTCTGAGTTTCCATTTTCAGCTGTGAAAACATCGCCAGGGGATATATGAGGGAACAAGCAGCTAATGTCGGGAATAGACTTTTATGTCTTACATAACTGTTCTCAGATGTCCCCCTGTTATCTGAAGAGAAGTCAAGGAAAGTTAAAATTAAACGTGACAAAAACAGCAACAACAACAACAAAAATGTTTGTTTCCACCCTTTCTCAGAAAATAGAGCCCAGGCAGAAAGATCAAGGGGCGGTCAGGAGGAGAAATCGCTCAGAAAGCTCCGTGTTGAAAGCATTTCTTGTTTGTGGGAGGCTGTAGGAGGAGGCTGCTGCAGTTGCAGATCTAACTTTAACAGACTGACTTTGTTGGTAGTCAGTACTTCTCTTCTCTAGTCGGCTGTAGAGGGCTGATATTGTTTTGTGGCCACTGACATCCATGGTTTGCTTTCCTATGGAGAACTGCTCAAACTGGGCTATTTTCTTAATGCAAATGTGCCACAGAGCAATAGCGGTGCTTATGCAAAGAGAAAGGGCATTCCTTCCTCACACTTATACATCATTTTAGATTGCGTTTAGGTTCCTGGATGGCACAGTAGCACAGTGTTTAGCAGCGCTGAGGCCCTTGGTTCAATTCCAGACCAGGGGTGCTACCTGTGTGGAGGTCTTCCCGTGTTTGGTTAATTAGGCTAATTGGCTTCTGCGGAAAAAACGGCCAGGTGTGGGGGTGTGAGTGTTTGCATTTGTGCCTGTCTGCTGTGTGATGGACCGGTCTCCCATTTGTGCCCCGCCTTGTAGCTGTTGCTTGCTTGGATAAGCTACAGCTTCCCTGCGACCCTGCATTGTGTAAAGCAGTTACAGAATGGATGGGTTTACTGCAGATTTCTGTGTCATCTTGGTCTTGTTAGGAAGAGAAAGCAAGCAATATACAGGATGGATCGGTCTTTCTTCCTTGGTTTCATGTTTACTGGCCAAAATATCCAGATAGCAAATTTTTAATGATGGAAAATAAATAAAAAAATATACATGCATGCTAAAATGCTTGAGGGCCCTGTAGGAAATACACTAAAGTACTGCAAACACAAGAACATCAGGGTACTGCAGGTATCACACTGACCCAGACAACTGAACATGGACACTGGTGTAAGACTCACAGGTGAGCTGATACTGTATGTAGAATACTCTAGTATCCTTAGGGATGGAAAGCACTATGCAACTGCAATGCATTGAATAATATTTATTATAGATTCTTGTAATTGTTTTCTTTATGTGCAAAGCAGATTCAGTCTGAGACATTTTTATATTGTTGAAGTACTTCAAGTAACCTGAACATGAGTGAGGGAATTCATTTCTGTTGTAACAAATATGTTCCTGAAAGTAATCTGCCTATCTCCCAGATTGTTCATTTTTTGCCTAAAACTCAAGAAAATCCCAGTTCTTCTGTTGTATTTAGAATACACCTCAATATCAGCTAATTATGACACATCTTTACATATCTCTGTAGTTCATTCACTCTGAAGACATTCATTTCTGAGCAGCATTGTTTTTTAAATTGCTATTAATTTGTCACGCTCGTGTTAAACACCAGGAGTGAAAAGGCCAAATGGAACAAAAAAAGTAATAGAAGAAACAGGCAGAGGTTAATTACAGGCTAAAAAGTAGATAAAGAACATTTCTTTGGTGAAGCCTTCTTCAGCTGTACACTAATCATACCTGCACAGCAGCAGGTCTATATTTAAGCAGATGGATTTCTGCTTTCCTTTTATGGAGCGGATGCATGCTGAGCTACACTGGATCTACAGGTCCAACAACCCTCTATTCCTCACAGCTGTGTTGCTCAAATGATTGAATTGGACATCAGTGGTGGTGGCAGAGCTATGGTCCCCTGGAATGAGAGCAGAGGACCCTCACAGCTCTGTCCTGCAGCCCCTACCTTCCTGGTGCAGTGCGCCAGAGAACCACCGTGGCATAAAGATGAAGCAGGGGCATTAGGTTGTGAAGGGCGCTTCCTCCCCCTCACAAACCTTTCTCAAATCCAAATTATGTTCATTTTGAACATAGACATCAAAATGTGAGAGGTCTCCCCTCCCTCCATTTCCAGTTCCCCGGCCTGCTGCCAAGATTTAGACAAGGTGGTGAAGATGACATAAACTGCACCCTGTGCATTTATCTACACTTGCGAACCCCCTATGTGGAGTCATTCCAGGATTGGCAGAGTCTGCAGACCTCACCTAAAGAAGGAAAAACAGGCGGAAAGTATGCAATATTCAGTACTCCGGAGCTGAGTGCAAAGCCTGTCCTCATTATTCCACCCACAGCCACTTGCAGATCATCAGTGAAGTGTGAGAGGGGTTCAGTGACGTGGACTTTATCCTGGTTGCTGGCTCTCAGTGTGCAAGCTCTTTGAGCGTGACCAAGCAGGGCCGTTTCCCCTGTACACACAGATGTCATGTACAGCTTCTTCTTTTCATCTCTCTCAACAGCATTCAGAGGGAAAGAACGCGGTTTAGCATTTTCCATTTACAAGTAAGACAATATTGAGAGTAAGAAAAACGAAGGAGATTTATTCAAACTAGCACATGTGCAGTGCAAGGATGGCCTTAAAACACAGAAAAAGAAAGGGAGCGCACACTGCAGAGCCGCACATTTTAAACAAACGTTTCGTCTTGTCCCTAAGACAGCACAGCAGGCCCTTGCTTTCACTTCCCGCAGCTCGTCTGCAGGGAGAACAGCAGCCGGGACAGATGTGCTCTGATTCTCTGGGCTGTTCCTCATTAACAGGGTAACAGACTGACACCTCTGCTGCCAGCTGGCTCCAGGATTGCACAATTAACTTGCCATAAATCTTAGCAAGATAAAAGACCGGCATGACAAAGTGAGTAATTCTCATCTACCCTTTTAGATGCAGCCTACTAAACAAACCAGTCGCCCGTTATTAAATTACTTCATTCATGTCCAGCTGTAGAGGAGTTAATTCCCAGCGCTGTGCGGAATCCCACACAGCGATGATAAGTGAAGTGTTCATGTGCTTGGGTTTATAACGTGAGGTCCCGAAAAGAAGAAGAAACATAAGCTGCAAATAGAAGAAGATAATTCAGCCTTTGGATGCGCCTTTATTCCAAGGGCTTCATCGAGCTGCTTCTTGACGTCTGTGTGGCTGTGCAGTTTGTTGCACTTGGCCCAACAACCTTTGTGGAGAGAAGCGCCTCCTGTTTTAAGTTTCAAATGCACCTCTTTATAGTTTTCACCTGTGTCCTCTGGTTTGTGCTTCCCCGTTGATTCTGCTGAAATCTGATGAGGTGAACCCGGAAGTGCTTTTGAAGATTTCAGATACTTGATCAGGGCAGTTCATAATCTCCAATGCTCTGCTCTGGACTGATTCCAGAGCCACAATGTCTTTTCTTTCATATTGACCACAATTGTACACAATATGTTAAATCCCATTATATTAACTGTCCAATTAAAAATACATTTCATTTAAATTACTCACCTGTAACTATATTTTCTAACATTGTTTGCCTTTTGTATTGTTTCTCCACATTCTCACTAAGATTAAGAGATGTATTAACCTAGACATCTAAGTCTTTTTCATAAGTAGCGTTTTTAGGCTGAGTTGCAAGTTGTCTTACAGCTATAGTTAATTTTTCTGCTATATCCATATAGAGTGCTGCACTCTACTGTAATATTAAATGTCATTTGCCAGGTGCTTGCCCACTCTTCTTAGTCTTAGTTTTTCCTTGGTAGCACACCTCCTATTTTGACTTACTGTATATAGAAACTAGAACATTGATATAAATTAGAAAGAGATATTTCTTGTATTTCTTGATACAGATCCCCATGGTACTCCACTAAATATATCTACTCCATTTCAGCATTCACTGCTTATCTGCACTCTTTTTATCCATT